CGCCTGGGGTAGAGCAGCTGGGGTGCTGCCGGGTTGGTCCTGCGGGGACCTACCCGGCAGCGCCCCAGCTGTTCTGTCCCAGGAGTCCAGATTCAGCCGCTGTTGAAACTGATCAGCGGCTGATTCCAGGAAGCCGGGGGGCAGAGCAACTCTGCCTAGGGCTTCCTGTAGTCAGCCGCTGATCAGTTTCAGCAGCGGCTGAATTTGGAGCCAGTTCCGACTTACATACAAATTCAACTTAAGAACAAACCTATAGTCCCTATCTTGTACGTAACCCAGGGACTGCCTGTACTTGATTGCTTTTGTAGTATGTGCACAGCAGGGAGACAGGAGCAAAGCCACAGAGGCGGGGGGGGGGGGCTCCTCCAGGGCAAAGGAGCAAAGCCGCACGGGCAGCGGGGTCCCACCGCCTGTGCGGCTTTGCTCGGGTCTCCCTGCTGTGCTGGGGGGGGGACAGGAGCAAAGCCGCATGGGCAGCGGGGTCCGCCGCCTGTGCGGCTTTGCTCAGGTCTCCCTGACGTGCTGGGGAGTCCCCCCCAGCACACCAGGGAGACCCGGAGGATGCGGTGGCGGGACCGCTGCGCTCTTGGCAGTCCCACTGCCCGCGTAAGTCGGGGACAGCCTGTAACTGGAATACTACTTCAAATGATCTCCTTTCATTCCTCTTTAGATTGCAACGCTTCATAGAGCCTTCTATAAGTATTTCATTAATATGAGTCTGCAGAAGAGTGGAAAGAGAATGTTACAAAATAAAGGCCAGTAAATCAGAAGTGTGGTAGGAGGGAGAAAATACAGTGGGTAAAAAAACGAACAAACAAAAAAATAAAAAGCTTTGTTTGTGGATTCAATCGAGTTGTCATGTTACATTAACTCCTTTTTATGTTTGTTTTATAATCCAAGTGAGGCATTTCTTGATGCCTCTAATGACTTCATCTGTATCCAGGGGTGATAGAGAAAAAACTGAGGAAGGTTAGCACATGTATATTAGCTAGCATCACGGCTCAGCACTACTAGAGATGTGTGTACAGGTCTGATAGATACTGCTACTGAAGTTCTCTGAACAGCAGAACAGAAATGGAAACACATCTACAATGCAGCAGCTATAGGGACACTGACAAAGTTTTCTCTAAGCTGTGCGGTAGCATGGCCCAGCAGCTACTTGATGAGCCTACCCAGAGCTGCCTTGCTAGGGGAGAAACACCTCTTCCTCAGCTGCAATTGCATTGCAAGTTCACGGCCAACCAGTAGGGACGCTCGCTATTGGCTGGGAGAGACTCCCTGCTCTGTACTCAGCAGTAAGCTGCTGCTGTAGCTGAAGGAGAATTGGCCTTTCCCCAACCAGCCAGTTCAGCACATGGAGCCCTGAGCCTTTGGCTGAGTGGGGTTCATTAAGCAGCTGCAGGGCTGTACTACCGCACAGCTTAGAGGGAACCTTGGATACTACCTGAAGAAGAAAATGTGTCTTCACTTATTTGCTCAAAGCCTGACAACTTTACCTTGGCATGACTTTATTTCCTTACTACAAAATCAAAATACTACTGCTAATCTGTGTCACAGGAGTGTTGCAAGACAATTTACGTTTGCAAAGTGTTCTAAGATTATCTACCTACTTGTAGAAGATCTCTATATCTATTCTGATTTTGAACAGCTCTAGAAAAGTGCCTGAACTATGTTCCAGATGCCTTTGAACGATTAAAAATATATTCAAAGCTACGATAACTTTTGACATCATGCCTGACTGATTACTAGCTTTAAGCAACAACATACCGTATGTTGGTGTGGAACTTCAGCTGATGTAAAACTGTCACAGTGCCAATGAAAGCCAACAAAGCTATGACAGTTTAAATCAATAGACCTATAATAATGATGAGGACTTCTGCCGCCTTAAACACAAACCTGCTATGAACAATTACAGAATTGAATAAAATGCTTCCCTTGACACACATGGAATTTGTAAAAGACAATTTAATATAATTAGAAACTTTACAAAACTATACAGAAGAAACTGCGTATTTTGTGAAATATGAAGTGTTTCTGATGTATTCATTGACAGTGGCCACAATAATGTGGCAGTTTGGAGGATTTTAAAATGGTATTCCTTACCTTAATATATATTTTGTCACTTTAAAATGATCACCAAGTGCACAAAATTAACATAACAAATTAAAACTTGAATAAAAATGTAAAATAGTCTGTTATGCAGTGTATATTATACATATCCGGTAAAGTATTTAAGTTCAAAGATAAGTTATCTGAAAAAGGTCAAAAATTAATCACATGTTAAAAGTTATTTTTATGTCAAATACAAATATTATTTGTCACAATAACAGCAACAATAAAATGGAATGAAATACCCACTGAGCTGTATATCTTAGCATACTGTGCGCTCTCAAACAAATATATTAGGAACAAGTTTTAGCCACAGCCATGTTTGCTGCACTAACTTCATAAGTTCTAAGAATAAACTATTAGGAATTTTTTAAGTGTTGTCACTAAAAGAAAGTGTTTTTAAAGCTTGTGTGATAATGAGTATGTATACAAAATAGTACATGCAAACTGCTCACACACTCACAAACTCTAGGATGCTCCAGTTAGTGTACATGAACAATTAGTAACTCATGCAGCTGTAGAGTACACAGGAAGCTAAACATACTTACCCAGTGGTATGCTATCTAGGTCTGTGTAAATAACAGCAACAAGGAAACAAAAAGCAACACTCCAATCAAAACAGAGCCATTAAAAATCCCACATTAAACTATATTATTCATAGTTTAACCTAAGAGAAAGTAGAATAGATGCTGTAGCAGACATAGTACCTCCTTCAAAAGGTACAATTATGTGAAAAGAGAATGGGAACAAATATTTAGAATCTTGAGTTTAGAAGATTAAGTACCACCAAATTGTTCATATTAAATTTCTGTAGAAACAATAATCAGTACATTTTGAGTTTAAAAATGGTGGTAATAGTAACCTCCTTTGATCCTTCATTTTACTGCTACTTAAATATTACACTTGGGGTGACTAGACAGCAAGTGTGGAAAAAGTAGGACACCATTTTTTTGGAGGGGGTGGGGGAGGGGAGAATAGGATACAGTTGACTATATAACAAAGCCCCTAATATCATGACATCTGGTCACCCTAATTACACTTAATGGTTTGCATGCACGTCAAGTGTATATTTTTATATGTAAATTGTTAAAATACAGCATCTATTCAGAAAACGAATGTCCTACAATATCTATTACAACATGCATGAAAAGCAATCCTGACATGCAGAGTACTTCCCCTTTATAAAATGCCAAAAATACCTTGCAAAGCATGACCCAGCAAAGCATCAAGTTCGGGATTCAATTCTGCCTTCTCTTTCAGCATATGAAATAGCAGTTGGTTTTGAGTAGAACTTGTAATTTCTGTTTGCTTAAGGCGTCCTTCAAGAACCTTAATTTGCGCCTCCTTTTGAGCCGCCTGGAGACCCTATAGGAAAAATGACAAGTACTTAAAATATTCTTAAAAGAAATCAGTAAATGATAAATCTTACATATTACTTTAATTTCTGTAATTTAGTGGCCAATTTGAATCTGCTGTATTTCTTCATATGTCCAATAGATTAAAAGGTAACCAGTGGCCAAACTTTTCTGGATATCCTCTGTCCACTTTTCTGTTTCATCTTCTTTCCTTTGGGTCAAACTTTTTAGCATGCACACACCCAAGGAAATACTCTTTTTAGGCATCAGACAAATGTACAAACTGACTTAATCCCCAAGCATGAGGGATTTGTGCACTTAATAAAGCACAAGCAAAGTGAACAAAAACTTGGGCCTTAATTTTCCATAATTCAACCCTCTTATCTGTTGCCTTTTATATTACCTAACACACACACAAAAAACCCTATAAACTTCCAGGATCATCAAATGAACATTCAGTTTTCTCTGGAAAGCTCTTAGAACGTAACATACATAAGAATCCATTTTAGAAACAATTCATCATGAATGTTGACTTGTGAGGCTTATTTAGCTGGAAATAGAAAACTTATAGCAAGAGCTAGTCAAATAGAGAAAACTAAATAATTAAAAAGATACATCAATAAAACATGTTCTTGAATGTTTTTTCAAGGTCACAAGGAACTACCTCCATACATTTAATTGCCTACAGTGAGATGGGTTGCTGGAAATACAATTAAAACTATAAGCAGATACATCAGGAAATCCAGTTCCCCACATTTTAATTTTTCAGGCCATTCTTTCAATTCTGTTTTACCAAGAGAATCCTAGTAAGCCTTTCCTTCTTTGTAGTGAATAATTTTAAAAAAATAAAATCAACAGCTTCTGGTGCATCCTGCCTTTGTGTGACCACCCCCCCCCCCCCACTCCCTCCCCCAAAACACTAACAAAAAACAAGTGAGCAAGCATTCAAAAACTTTGACTCTACTACATGTTAATCGTCTAACAGGAGGAAGTGCAAATATAATAATAAAAAGTAAGAAGAGGAAGTTACTCACCTTGTGCAATAACTATGGTTCTTCAAGATCTGTTCCCTTACGAGTCCATTGTAGGGCCGTGTCCAGACTCAGGGGTTTTTTCGGGAAAAGTAGCCTTTTCCCGAAAAAACTTCCCCTGCGTCCAGACTCAAGCCGCGTTCTTTCGAAATTATTTCGAAAGAACGCGGCTTTTCTTTCGATGGCGGTAAACCTCATTTCACGAGGAAGAACGCCTTCTTTCGAAAGTTCCTCTTTCGAAAGAAGGCATTCTTCAATGTAAAAAGGCCGTCTTCGAAAGAGAGCATCCAGACTCGCTGGGTGCTCTCTTTCGAAAAAGCGGATTTCTCTAGAGCCTCTTTCGAAAGAAGCCTGCAGTCTAGACATAGCCTAGGAGACCATCTGTCTCTCTAATCAGGGATTTGTGGTAGTAGTGTCTGTTAAGCCTGTACATGCACTCTTCCTCCCTCATGGTCTGCCTCAAGACTCGCTGGCACTGAGTGGGTGAACCTCCCCCCCTTCCTTTGCTACCATAGGTAACTCCCAAGTAGAGGGGAAGAGAGCTGTATGCCAAAGACGACAGTGCCAACTACAACACCAAGGGTCAAAGCGCCAACTCTATAAGCAAGGAAGAGTTTCAAGCACTAATCTCTCTCCAGCTTAGTTCTGGGCTTGTAATTCCTACAAATACTGCAATGTCCTTCATCTAAACACTTGAGATAAGCTGTTTGAGGGTCCCGTCTGGACACAGGCTTGCCACGAGTGATGCAGTTCTTAAACACCACTCCATGCCCCAGTGGGAAACTCAAACAGAGAGCAAAAATGAACAAAACATGGGAGGGAGCCCCCCAACTAAAAACTATCAACTAACACTTAATAATAACAGCTAACTAACTATAAACAGAAAAAAAATGGGAAGAAATCAGCTAAGATTATCTTGCAGAGCAAGAGAACAAGTGTTCTGCTGAGTGTCACTGGCGGTAAGAAGGATTTGAGGGGATGGAGGGTCAACTGAACCCTATATATCGCACCATGCAGGTGCCACTCCAGATGGCACCATATCCAACTTGGAAGGTACCACTAGGTGAAAAACCTTCCAATGATCTTGCACACAGCATGTGCCCACACCTATTAGAATGCACATATGCAATCATTCATAGAAAAAAGCTAATTTATTTTCTCTTTCTTTCCTCTTTAATCCCAACCAAGTAAAAAATGAATCACTAAGGAAAAACAATAAAACCAACTAATACTTATGCTAATGACACAGATAAGGACAGGATGAATGCTTGCTTCCTTTGAGGCCAAAGGTGGTTGAGAAGGAAGTAAGGGGTGGGGATTGGGAGTTTAGAGATCCTCCAGACAGATCACGAGGGATGGACAGCAAGATCAATGGATACTGCTACCAAAAATCTTTATGTAATGCAGTGGACTACCCACACAGATACTACTCAAAGAATAAGTAGCTATCAACTAGTATTTGATGTTCTAGATACACCTCTGATATGTGAGGATGGGAAGCTAACACTCAGCTATACCTGTAGCTATTAAATATAGATTATAAAATGCCAATTATGCAGTGACCTCATTCACTTTGAAGTCATTATTCAATGGATTCTATACATTAAGAAAAAAGCCCATATTGCTGTTAAAAATCACATCTTATCAAGTGTGTATATTATATGGATCGAAAACAGCCAGCGAGCAATATGTAACTCCAGCTTGGTTATTAAAAAATAAAACTAGGTTACAGTTTTAAGAAACTTAAAGGATCCTTTGAACTTGTTTTCAGAAGTTCTAAGCACTCAGCACCATCCCTTGAAGTCATTGTGAACTGCCGGATGCTCAGCATTTTTGAAAATCAGCACACTTAAGAGTCTTAATAAGCAGTCAGGAACTTAACCTTAGGACTCCTATTTTTGAAAAAATGCTCTAGATAGGTCTAAGTGGTGCATTCTAATTCTCTTACTTCTTTACCATGACTAATCATAATGCTTGATTTTTTTGTGCAAGGCAAGGGGCAGAGAATAAACTACAATACTTTTTCCCTGGAAACAATTTGCAGCATGGAGGCATAGTTGAATATGCAGATTCTTCTAATTTGGCAGTATTTGAAACACTTGATATTGAAATGTTTTTGTGTTTTAGTCAAAGCATTTAGATCCAATATGCAAATATTTTGCAAAGCATTTAGATCCAATATGCAAATATTTTGCAAAATGCTTCACAAGAAAGTACAGTATACTTTATTCCCTGTGTTACCTTATTAATGCCCATTGTGAGGAAGTGATCAAGAAGATAACGAGCTTCTGTTAGCGTGCAGGCATTAATCACTGCAGTCACATCCAAGGTCTCACCTTCTTCCTACATGTACAACAGTAAAAAAGGTCAGGAAATCTGCATCCTAGTCAGAGGACATAAGTGCTGCTATATTAAGATATGAATTATATTAACTCTAAAGATTCAGTGTAGGATTTTCAAAAAATAATGATAGTCAATGATACATGTTCTCTTAACCTAATTAAAGCATTTTGGAAAATCCCATCTTTAAACATTTTAGACTCCCTTAGGAATCTCTTTATGTTGAAACTTCTTTATTAATGCCTCTGGGTTATATGACCCTGCATTATATTGATAAACTGGTCAAAAGTTCAAGGAACTATTTTCCTTGTATGAGGAAAACAGTGTGAGGATATGTCTACACTACCCTCCTAGTTCGAATTAGGAGGGTAATGTAGGCATACCGCACTTGCAAATGAAGCCCGGGAAATTCAAATCCCAGGCTTCATTTGCAAGTGCGGTATGCCTACATTACCCTCCTAGTTCGAATTAGGAGGGTAATGTAGGCATACCGCACTTGCAAATGAAGCCCGGGAAATTCAAATCCCAGGCTTCATTTGCAAGTGCGGTATGCCTACATTACCCTCCTAGTTCGAATTAGGAGGGTAATGTAGGCATACCGCACTTGCAAATGAAGCCCGGGAAATTCAAATCCCAGGCTTCATTTGCAAGTGCGGTATGCCTACATTACCCTCCTAGTTCGAATTAGGAGGGTAGTGTAGACATACCCTAAGTTACTGATGTAGTAACTAGGAATTCAGGAACAGACCAACCCTGCAAAAGAAGTAGTTAAGGTGAAGTTTTGAGACAGTACTAAGTAGAGTAGTTTAGACTGTGTGATACAGTCTGTACCAGCGTCCTAGAAAATTGTGTCTGGTCTTAAAAACACTTTGTTGTGTAATGCATTTAAAGAGGCAAACTGTATGATGCTTTCATTGATCCGGGTAATAGTCACATTTCTAGAAAAACAATTTTAACAGCTAGTTCCTAATGATTTCATCTCTGCTTAAAAGATTATTATTGGCAATTCAATCCCAGGTGAACAATAAATTTGTTTGATAATACAATTAATCACCTTTATCCTATTTTACACTATTAATATAATAAATTCCAAAAAACACAGAGTAATAGTTAAACTAAAAACAACAGAACTAGTTTATTTACAGAATAAAAGAAATGTAAGGCTGGAAGGAACCTTGAGAAGTCATCAAGGTCAGCCTCCAGCACTGTGACAGGACCAAGTAAACCTAAATCAAATCTCACAGCGATATGTTCAACCTGTTTTTAAAAACATCTGATGATGTAGATTCTACAAACTTCTTTGAAGGTCTATTCCAGACCGTTACCATATAATTATAACATTTTTCCTGGTATCTAATTTAATAAATCTCTCTTGCTGCAGAGTAAGCCCATTACTTCTTGTCCTACAGTTAGTGGATTTAGAGAACGATTTATCACCATCCTCTTTATAATGCTCTTAACGAATCTGAAGATTTATCAGATTCCTGTGAATTTTCGTCTCAAGTCTAAACATGCCCAGTTTGGTTTTTTTTAAACTTTCCTTGACTTCATCCACATACTTCCTAAAGTGTAGAATGAAGAACTGGACACAGTACAACAGATGAGTCCTCAGCAGTGCTGAGTAGAGCAGAATAAATGCCTCCCATGTCTTACATAAATATTCCAGTTACTACATACCAAATATTAGCTTTTTTTTCCCCCCACCATTGCATCAGATTGCTGACTCTCATTCAATTTATGATTCACTCCAGATCCTTTTAGTACTACTACTTAGCCAGTTATTCCCCCATTTTACAGCTGTGTATTTGATTTTTCCTTCCTAAATAAAGTATTTTGCACTTGTCTTTACTGAATTTCATCTTGTTGATTTCAGACCAATTCTCCATATGTCAAGGTTGTTTTTTAATTTCTATTCCTGTTCTCAAAACTGCTTGCCAATCTTCCCAACTATAAGCCTACACTCCACTTTATTATCCAAGTACTGGACCCAAGGACCCCAATAGATATACCCTCCCTATTTGACAATGAAATATTGATATCTACTAATGTATAAGACAATTATCAAGTACAACATAAGTGTGTCTTCTGAATAAGACATAGACTATACTGTAACGGACAGCTGTGGAAGAAAGATTTAAATCTATGACTGTCACAAGAACCATAGTATTTAATACCAGCAAAATGAAGTATCAGCTTTGACATTTAATGGCCCTGCAATGTTAATTTACCTTATATAATCAAAACTAATACTTATATCTGAAAACTCCACTGTACAAACACTATCTCCTCAACTTATTTGAATTGAACAACATAATGTATGGGTTGCATAATGCATGAAACACCTAGGTAAACTTCACCACAGACTAAAATATTCTCAAGACTAATGCAATTTCCCAGGTGTACATGTTACTATTACTGAACCTTAGCACTTGACTTACCTTTGCTTCCTCCATCTGCACAATGTTTGCTTGGCAGTCAGAAATACTGTCATTGATGTAATCTATATTTGCAGTTAGTGATTCCATCTCCTCATTGATATTATGGACATTTTTGTCTACTTCTCCACCACCATCCTTGATGACTTTCTCCCTTTTTTTCGAAAGCTTCTCTCTTCTTTTTGTAAGTTCTTCACGTTGCTATTTCCAAGAGAAATTTTAAATGAAAATCTTGCACACTGAAGTAAACTATAATTTATATTCTTTATTTTTGTTCTTTTCTAGTTACATGGTACCCACAATGTACATGTGCAGAGGGAGAGAAATAGAGGATGCAAACAACACATGTATATGGTGCTTTTATATCCCGACACCTACAACATATTTGTTTTGTTTCTTACCTCAGTAAAATGTGACAGTTCTGGGTTCTATGTTGGGATTCAAACACTTCAAGCAATAAATCACTTTATGGCTGTGTCTACACTGACATGAATTTCCGGAAATGCTTAAAACAGAATAGTTTTCGTTATAAGTATTTCTGGAAAAAGAGCGTCTACATTGGCAGGCTGCTTTTCCGGAAAAGCGTCTGTGGCCAATGTAGACGCGCTTTTCCGGAAAAGAGCCCCGATCGTCATTTTCGCAATCGGGGCTTTTTTCCGGAAAAGACTACTGGCTGAATAAGGACTTATGCCCGAGCGGGAGCAGAATAGTTTTTCTGGAATAGCGGCTGATTTTGTACAGTAGAGCATCGTTGCTTTTCCGGAAATTCAAGGGCCAGTGTAGACAGCTCGCAGCTTATTCCGGAAAAGCGGCTGATTTTCCGGAATAAGTGGCCCAGTGTAGACACAGCCTATATGCTTGTGCCTACAAGGTGCCAAGCACCTCTGTGACCTATGGCCTAGACCAAAGCTTACTCTAGTCAGAGGGAGCCTTTTCATTAATTTCAGTTGGTTCTGAATCACTTTGGCCGATATGAAGAAGTAATTTTCTTATAAAAGAAAGTATATCTGCTTTCTGCTATTTTCATGCAATAGCATGTAAGATAGTTCATAATAAATACCCCACCTTAAGTAGTCTATTCATATCTGTTTCCATATTGGAAATGGTCATTTTCTGCATAATGATGTCAGTCACTTTGCGTTCAAGTAATTGCCACTTCATCCTGGCTGCCTTTGAGGAATAAACTCTGACAGTTGTTCCTTTTCTTTGGTAGTTCTTCCTATGGTTAATTCAGAAAGCCACATTACTGAAAATAACTACGTGGTCCAAATCAGATTTTTGAAACTGCAAACTATCAATGCAAAATTATTATTATGGTTTAAAGGCAACATGACATTCTTCTCCAAACCCTGACTAGACATCCACCTACTCGTAATCAGTCCTCTTCCGACATACTTCATATCCTTTGGCACTTCAAAACATATGTCAAGTCCTGTAGCATTTCAATGGAGGCATCATACAGCTTCAAGCAATGATTTATAAAATGCTTCCATCATCAGAGGACCAGGTTCAATTAAATATACAAGTCTGCTTCAGAGTACAAATCCCAAACTATCAAGAACTTCACTGTGTTTGTATTTGTTTGTTTACCTGAGATTTTCTTTGTTCTTAAGAGAAATGTGGGTAACTGAACCACAGAGCACATTTTGCCGAGTATGGCACCCAAATTTTAAGAAATTTAGATTTTCAAATATTACTTGTTCTGTAATGACATTTTGTATTGTCCTACACTGTATAACAAAAATATGCCAGGTTCAATCCTGCTCTTGGTGAAATTAGTGGGCATAGGACCATTTTAATGGACTAGGAAGTGACTTGAAATCGTAAATAGAACCCATTATAACATCTATCTAGATGTGAATGTGTGCTATAAATTATAAAACTGGAGAGGTAATGTTTTAGCTGTCATTTATAAGAAATATATATTTTTAACCTTTACCTGGTTCCATTTGTTGCAGTTACTGATAATGCTTGGACCCTAGCCACAGGAATTCGCATCTTCTGCTGTACTGCTGATTTTGATCCATCATAGTCCACAGATGACACACTAGAACTTGGTTCCTGAATAGGATGGTCTGGCAAACTCAGCTTACGACTCACCCTTCCAGCCGTTTTATCAGACATAGGCCTTACTTGTCGACGCAAAGCTGAAACCTGAAACAGCAGGACAAGACATAACCTGTGGGTTGCATTATAAATTCTATGTTATGACCACAAATTATGCAGATATCTATGATCTAACAGGACACAGCAATGATGTAAGACAATACCTCTTCTGTTTTGCGGCGTAGAACAACTTCTTGGTTTCTTTTCTGAGCTTCCAAAAGTTTGAGCTGATGCTGTGAACAATGACAATGAATCAGCCAAATATTTTTGTCTCCATCATTTGTCATTAGCAGTCTAACTGAAGAAGTTCAATATATATAATATAGGCTTACAAAACTGTTGTGGAAAAGGTGCAAAATCTTCTTATCCAAAATATGAAGATTATAATGGGAAAACAAACCTTCCTCAATACTTTGTTTGTCCCTATCAAACAAATAACATTCCTGGAGTGAAAGGGCAGGCAAAATTTTGCAAATAGCATTAACAGATCTACAATAAAGCTTTGTTTATTTTTACTACTTGAAGCCTGGGGGCAGACTTTCTACAATGCAACTAAAATGCATCAGGTGTCAACCAAAATCTTATTTAATTGTAAGAGGAGGGGATTGATGTTCAGATGGAAGAAGTATGACAAATTCCACAGAGTAATAACTATGTTTACTATTGTACAGAAAGCTTTATTAACATTCACATCTGAACTATATATTACCTCTCGCTTACGCTGCTCCTTTTTAAGCTGTGCAATCTCCCTGTTTCTTCTAGACTCTGTCATCCTGGCTTTTTCTTGCTCATCTTTCATTTGTTTCATCAAACGAACCTGCATAGAGACAATCTCTTAACCACCATAACAGAGAGCATTTACTTTAAATCAAAATGATTTCAGTCTCCCTGCATTCACATAAAAAGCATTTTCTTCACACTATAATTAGGGATGTAAGCAACTACTTGAGTATCATAGAATCATAGAATAATAGGACTGGAAGGGACCTCAAGAGGTCATCGAGTCCAGCCACCCGCCCTCAAGGCAGGACCAAGCTCCGTCTACACCATCCCTGACAGATGTCTATCTAACCTGTTCTTAAATATCTCCAGACAGGGAGATTCCACCACCTCCCGTGGCAATTTATTCCAATATTTAACCACCCTGACAGTTAGGAATTTTTTCCTAATGTCCAATCTAAACCTCCCCTGCTGCTCTTTAAGCCCATTACTCCTCGTCCTGTCCTCAGAAACCAAGAGGAACAAATTTTCTCCTTCCTCCTTGTGACACCCTTTTAGATATTTGAAAACCGCTATCATGTCCCCCCTTAATCTTCTTTTTTCCAAACTAAACAAGCCCAGTTCGTGAAGCCTGGCTTCATAGGTCATGTTCGCTAAACCTTTAATCATTCTTGTCACTCTTCTCTGTACCCTTTCCAATTCCTCCACATCTTTCTTGAAAGGTGGCGCCCAGAACTGGGCACAGTACTCCAGCTGAGGCCTAACTAGTGCCGAGTAGAGCGGCAGAATGACTTCACGAGTTTTGCTTACAACACACCTGTTGATACAACCTAGAATCATATTTGCTTTTTTTGCAACAGCATCCCACTGTTGACTCATATTCAACTTGTGGTCCACTATGACCTCTAGATCCCTTTCCGCCAGGCTCCTTCCTAGACAGTCGCTTCCCATCTTGTATGTATGGAACCGATTGTTCCTTCCTAAGTGGAGCACTTTGCATTTCTCTTTATTAAACCTCATCCTGTTTACCTCTGACCATTTCTCTAACTTGCTAAGGTCATTTTGAATTATGTCCCTATCCTCCAAAGAAGTTGCAACCCCACCCAGTTTGGTATCATCTGCAAACTTAATAAGCGTACTCTCTATACCCAATATCAACATCATTGATGAAGATATTGAACAGTACGGGTCCCAAAACAGACCCTTGCGGAACTCCACTTGTTATCCCTTTCCAGCAGGATTTAGCACCGTTAACAACAACAACTCTCTGACTACGGTTATCCAGCCAATTATGCACCCACCTTATCGTGGCCCTATCTAAGTTATATTTGCCTAGTTTATCAATAAGAACATCATGCGAGACCGTATCAAATGCCTTACTAAAGTCTAGGTATATGACATCCACCACTTCTCCCTTATCCACAAGGCTCGTTATCCTATCAAAGAAAGCTATCAGATTAGCTGGCATGACTTGTTCTTCACAAACCCATGCTGGCTATTCCCTATCACTTTATTACCTTCCAAGTGTTTGCATATGATTTCCTTAATTACCTGCTCCATTATCTTCCCTGGGACAGACGTTAATAGTCAACTATATAAGCTTATAACTATAAGCTTAGGCTTATCGGGTAGTTGAGTCACTACTTAACTACTCTCTTGCCCCCCTCCCCCTTGCTGCCTCTGTATCAGCCTGTATCAGCTGCCTTAAAAGCCAATTCCCCCCAGCACCGGCTTCGTAGCGGTGGATGTGGGGGAGAAGGGAAGGCAGAGCCCAGCAGGCTCTTACTACAGTTAAAATGCAGAGCGGCAGCAGCCTGGGAGCCAGTGTGAGCTGGGACTGCTTAGACCCAGCTTGTGCTGTCTCCGGGACTAACCTCACTGTGGCTCTGCAATTTAAATGTAGTAGGAACCAGGCTGCCTGCTCACCTGGCTCCTACTACATTTAAACGGCAGAGCCACAGCGGAGAATAGCGAGCACCCTCCCTCATCGACTAATTGAGTAATCAATGGAAATTCCATCAACTATTCGATTAATTAACCACTACTTAACATTCCTAACTATAATCTCCTATAACTATTCTGTACTTTCAGACATTTACCTCCTCCCAGATATACATTTTTCTTCTGTCATGTGATAACAAGAAAACAGCTCTCAATCCCTTTTTCATTGAACAATATTAAAAAGGAAAACCTTAGTTTTTTTCATCTCAGTCACATCCTGCTGCAGTTTCTTCAGCTGCTTTTCATACTGAGACTGATTTTTAAGCATTCGTGCATGCTCTTTCTGAGCAGTCTGAAGTCTTTGCAGTTCTTTATTCATGGTTTGGAGCTTTTTCTCATATTCTGACTTAATTTTTTTTGCTTTTTCTTCTGAACAGGACTCCATGGAACCTAAATAAAAAGGGGAATTCCTATCAGCTAATTTGCTGAGGATATATCTTCACTTTGTCAATACTGCATTACCTGCTCACTCAGCAGCTGAAACAGTTGCCTCCGATCATCTTTAGCTATTTAAATTGTCATTTTGCTTCACTGCTATGAAGTCTTTGCCCAGGACTAGTAACTTCTATAGCTTTAGGCAATGTATAAAGTACTAACACAATCACTTTATACACTTAATTGATTTCTAATTTTCTAACTGAACAACAAAGGCAGGTCATTCCAACTGAGTGCAATGATGACACATGCATAAAATGAAAAATAAAAACAGAATTCCTTTCTGCTTTACTGCAAACATTGGACACAGGAGTTGGAGATTCTAAGCAGTCTGGTCTCACTTCTCTCACCTTCCAACACCCTAGCTCACCCAAACAAAAATGGACAGAAAACTAATCATGAAAGCCAACTTTGACCTCTTCTGGCCCATGCAACACTGGCAGAATCTTAAAGACCTCAATTCAATATGACTGGTAGACTTAATAGATTAGGGATGTCAACAGTTTACTGGGCTATAAAGTGGGTCTGAACCTCAAATGATAAGTAACCGAATCCAATAATTGAACAAAATATTACTATACAATAAAAATATAGCCAGTAAGGTCTTTTCTGAAAGATAATTAGAAACTAGAGATTAATATCATAATGTATTAACACTAAATGAGAAAATATGGATACTCAATTATGCTTCAAAGTTTGTCACAAAATGCAGGGAGAAACAAGATTTTCCCCAGACAGGAGAAGGCATGATCAATAAAAGCAATGGAAGCCCTATTTACATATGAATCAACAGATGTATGAGATGTCCACAGGAAGGAAAGAAAAGCAGGAGGTCATCCTGGTGTGTCTAGACTACAGGGTTTTTTCGAAAAAAGTGGACTTTTTTGAAAAACTTCCCCTGCATCTAGACTGCTGCTGCGTTCTTTCGAAAGTAAATCGAAAGAACGCAGCAGTTTTTTCGACTGAGGAAAACCTCATTTTACGAGGAAGAACGCCTTTTTTCGAAAGTGCTCTTTTGATAAAAGGTGCTATATAATGCAAACTGTGCTTTTCCGAAAGAGAGCATCCTGACTGCCTGGGTGCTTTCTTTCGAAAAAGCGGCTTGCTGGAAAGTACTGGTTGTAGTCTAGACACTCTTTTTCAAAATAGGCTTGCAGCCTAGATGTAGCCCAAGTCTAGGGACAAAACAGTGAGTTTGGGAAGAAATAAGGAGAAAGAAGAGGCTAACTTGGCATCTATCACTGGATGGGCACCAGGGGCCAGAGCCCTTGCAAACTGAGAAAGCCAGGACCTTCAAACAAGTGGGTTGAACTGAATATGAGTGAGAAACCTGCTTAAATAAGATCTTTCACTGTAGAAGGCAAAGGAAACCAGAACTTGTACTTCTGTAGGTGGTTCTGACCAAGGGAAAAAGTCAGTCATGGCTGGAAAAAAAGATTGGCAGGAAATCTACTGTGAACCTGGGCTGCAGAGTTATGTCTTGGTCACTAAAAGGTGTATTTTACTTTTATGTGCTTGTGACCATTCTCACTTTCTCTCTCCTACTTGAGTTTACTTTAAATTCTTTTAGATTAAACACTCTTGTTTTACTTTTATTCTAAATCAACCCAGTGCTGTGTTTGACTTGAAGTGAGTATCAACAACAAGCTGTTCTACTTTTGCCTCTTTAAAGGAGCAATAAACTTTATTACTCCTCTGAATGTTCTAGGAATTGGCAGGTTATTTCAGGGCAAAGGGTTCTGAGGAAATTTGGAGCTCGGAATATATTGGGGTCACTTGGCCAACAGAAACTAAGTCTGGTAGAGCCCAAAAGGCTATGCTGAAACAAGCAGGTTTCTGGGGTAGTTACTGAATCAGAACTGCACCACACACATGTTCATGCATGCTAGTCTGCTGGCTGTGATCTTCCAGAGAAGGAACTACTGCAGCAGAACACTGTAAGGCACTCAGAGCTACAAGACAAACACAACCTCTCACTGGTCTGCATTACACTCTAAAACAGGATAGGGGCATGCATCACTAATTGAACCAATGAACTCTTGTTATGCTACCTCTAGACTACAAAGAAAAGTCAGAAAAAGATATGCAAACTGCAATTTGCATATCTTTTTCCGCTTTTCTTTCAAAAGAGGCTTTTCCGAAATTTGGCGCGTCTACATGGCACCAAATTTTACAAAAACCTGCTCTTTCAAGCCATCCCTTCTTCCTCATAAAACAAAGTTGACAGGGATGGTGAAAGAACGTGTCCACTTTTTTGGAAATTTTTCTGAAAAAGTGGACATGTCCTTTGGATGTAGCATTGCCCAGAAAAGCGCTGCAGTCTAGATAAAGCCTTAGAGTGGCTAAAAGGAAAAGGAAAGAAAAAACTATTTGAATTGAAGTACTAGATTTTTGACTTCCTTTCACACACTCACAAGAAGTTAAAAATACCTCTTCATCTACCCTTAGTACAAAACAGCAATAAATAAAGACTTAAAAACTAGCATTACTAAAATCGAGAAATTAACAATTATTAGAAAATTATGACCCTAGTTAGCAGTTAATTTTCAAGTAATTTCTCCTCTCAATTTTGACACAATGTGTGTGGGGGGGAGAGAAGTAATGAATAAATTTGTCTCGAAGATAGTGGAGTAAAATGATTTAAATAAAAATTACGTGTCTTACCCAGGTTTTGAAGAACCTGATCTCTTTCAAGCTGAGTGTCTCGAATCTTATGCTGTAGCATCATTAGCTTTTCTTCATATTGCTTTTTCAGAGTCTGTAGTCTTCTTTGGCTGTTCTCTAGCTCATCTATCAGCTTTTGTTTTATGGCAATTTCACAAGTGATATTCGCTAAATCTGCCTGAAAATTTTCTAAAAGAAAAAAAAGAAAAATTAGATGCTAAAAATGGAGGCACTCAGAAACTATGGCATTGAGGACCATATAAACATTTATACAGATACCTACTGTAACTTTAAGGTACTCTATATAATGGCATTGAAACATTTTGTCAAAAAGCCCAGGATTTTGAAAAGCCACATTATTTGTCATGCTGGATCTGCACCTGGGTAACCAATTTCCGAGATTCAGAAAAAATACAAAACAGCTTCTCCTCATCCCACACCCACTCTGTGAAATACAGAATTGAGTAAGATGATTGGAAAGTTCATCAGATCATTGCTATTTTTGTTGCAACTGTTTACACGCAACTCCCACCTCTGAAATACCTTTGTCTCCCTGAGTTTGGCTCACAGAGCCTGCTAGATTTCCTTCAGCTCAAGAGCTGGGGAAACTTCTAACAGCAAGCTCAGGAAAGTGTAGGGAGAAAGTTTGGATTGGTCAGTGAATCTTAGGTGGCATCCTTTACTGAGCTGCTGAAAAGGTATATCCTATCTCTAGAGAGAAGTTAGAAGCCGTCTCAATCAAAAGGTAGGGAGTCCCCTTTCCCTGACTGCAGTTAGGTTTATAAGGTTTAAGGGGAATATATTTGACCCAATGGGCCCTTGCTTCTCATGTTTTGCTCAGGAAATAAGTTACAGGCAGTCCCCGGGTTACGTACAAGATAGGGACTGTAGGTTTGTTCTTAAGTTGAATTTGTATGTAAGTCTGAACTGGTACATATTGTAGGGGAAACTCTAGCCAAACATTTCTCCAGAGCTCAGTTTTATTCTCCCACACCTCACTTCTCTCAGTCCTTTATTCTCAAGCTGAGATGTCTGCTAAGAAAAGCCGCTCCGCATCTCCCTGGTCTGCTGGGGGAGGGGGGGGGGGGAACGCTAGCTTCGCATCTCCCTGGTCTGCTGGGGGGAAGCAGCTAGTGCGGGGTTGCCTCACCCCGTTTGTAAGTAGGGATCCGATGTAAGTTGGATCCATGTAACCCGGGGACTGCCTGTACCACATTCCTTCTACAATGCCGAGACAAGGCAGAACTGGGGCGGAGGAGGAGGGATAAAATCAAATCAGTATCTTAGATGCCTGTATACAAATGCAAGGAGTATTCACAGGAAATAAGCAGGAAGAACTTGAAATGCTAATAAATAAACACAACTATGCCATAGTTGGTATCACAGAGACTTGGCAGGATAATACACGATTGGAATATTGGTATAAAAGGGTACAACATGCCCAGGAAGGATAGGCAGGAAAAAAGGGAAGAGGTGCTGCCCTGTATATTAAAAATGCATACACTTGGACTGAGATGGAGATGTACCTAGGAGACAGACTTGTTTAGAGTCTCTGGGTTAGGTTAAAAGAGATAAAAAACAAAGGTTGATGTCATGCTAGGGGTGCGCTACAGACCACCTACCCAGGCAGAAGAAGTGGGTTTTTTTAAACAACTAACAAAATCATCCAAATCATAGGATTTGGTGGTGATAGGAGACTTCTACTATCCAGACATATGTTGGGAAACTAACACAGAAGGGAACAGATTATCCAAAAAGTTCTTGGACTGCATTGGAGACTTTTTTTTTTATTTCAGAAGGTTGAGACAGTTACTAAGGAGGAAACTGTTCTAGATTTGATATTAACAAATAGGGAGGAAATGGCTGAAAATTTGAAAGAGGAAGGCAGCTAGGGTGAATTCATGAAATCATAGAGTTCATGATTCTAAGAAATGGTAGAAGGGAGAACAGCAAAAGAGAGACAATGGATTTCAGGATGGCAGAAACTCGGTAAATTCAGAAAGCTCGTAGGTAAGCTTCCATGGGAAGCAAGACTAAGAGGAAAAACAACTGAAGACAGCTGTCAGTTTTTCAAAGGGACATTATTAAGGGACCAAAAGCAAACTATTCCACTGCATGGGAAAGACAGAAAGTATGGTAAGAGACCACCTTGGCTTAACCAGGAGAACTTACATGAAATAGAAATAAAAATAAAAAAGGACTTGTATAAGAAGTGGAAACTAGGTCAAATTACAAAGGATGAATATAAGCAAACAACACAGGTATGCAGGGGCAAGATTAGAAAGGCAAAGGCACAAAACAAGCTAAATCTAGCTAGAGACATAAAAGGTAACTGGAAAACATTCTACAAATATATGAGAAGCAAGAGGAAACTTGGAAATAGCAGAGGTGCTTAATGACTTTTTTGCTTCCATTTTTACCAAAAAGATTGATGCTGATGGGATACCGAACGTAGTGACTGATAATGGAGATGGGGTAGGTTTAGACGTTAAAATATAAAAAGAACAAGTTAAAAATCACTTGGAAAAGTTATATGTCTGCAAGTCACCAGGGCCTGATAAAATGCATCCTAGAATATTCAAGGAGCTGATAAAGGAGATATCTGAGCCTATAGCTATCATCTTTAAAAGCTGGAGATACCAGAAGAGAGATACCAGAAGACTGGAAAAGGGCAATAGAGTGCCCATCTACAAAAAGAGAAATAAGAACAACCCAGGGAATTACAGACCAATCAGGTTAATTTCTATGCCAGGGAAGATAATGGAGCAAGTAATTAAGGAATTCATCTTCAAACATCAGGAAGATAATAACGTGATAGATAATAGCAAGCACGGCTTTATAAAGAAAAAATCATGTCTAACCAATGTAACAGATTTTTTTAATAGGATAACAAGTCTCATGGATAAGTGAGACATGGTGGACGTGACATATCTAGAAATATTAAAGGTCAATTAATTGAATAGTCGATTAACCTCATGAATTCTCATCGGTTCCTCGACTATTATACAGTTCCAGAGGCGGGGCTAGAAGCCAGTGCACTCCACCCCCACTCCTGAGGACCCCCCGCCACTCTGCGCTGCTGCCTCTGTATCTGTATTGTGTCCAGTTATGGGCACCAGATTTCAAAAAAGGTGTGGAGAAACTAGGGATGGTCCAGAGAAGAGAAACAAAAATGATTAAAGGTCTAGAAAACATGAACTATGAAGGAAGACTGAAAGAACTGAGCTTGTTTAGTTTAGAAAACAGAAGACTGAGGGGGGACATGTTGCAAGGAGGAGGGAGAAAAACTGTTCTCTTTGGCCTTTTATGATTTAAGGCCTCTTTGGCCTTAAATTGCAGCAAGGGAGGTTTAGATTGGACATTAGGAGAAACTTCCTAATTGTCAAGGTGGTGAAACATTGGAATAAATTGCCTAGGGAGGCTATGGAATCTCCATCACTGGAGATATTTAAGAGCAGGTTGGATAGACATCTGTCAGGGATGATCTAGACAGTGCTTGGTCCTGACATGAGAGCAGGGGACTGGACTTGATGACCTCTCAAGGTCCCTTCCAGTTCTAGTGTTCTATGATTCTGTGATTCCACTGGGCTAAAGAACAAACTTCGGGGAACTACAGCAGGGCAATTCAGGACTTTTGCAGTAAGATATAAAGAAATCCAAAGAAACATGTCCTCAGAGTCCACAGAAGGGAACAGCAGAATAGACAATACACAGAATACTACTGATAGAGGATTCAGGAGATACTAAGCATGCTTCCTTTCCTGCCACAGGGAAAGAACCACAAACGGTAGTCATCCTGGAAAAGCAAAGTGTAAGGAAAGTGGTATTTACAGCTAACTGGCATATCACAGCAAATGCCAGCTTTAAAAATTATGTGGATTTCCTTCTCGTGCACAGCTTCATGAACTAAGTTTGTCTACAGAGCAGTGTCCGGATGAGCTGCCCCCACAATGCACTACCAGCCTCGCTCACAGATTAATCAGTCTCCGGGGCCTATGAAACAGCATCATCTATGCCAAAAATATGGGGTTCCCAGACAGAACAGATTTTTTACAAATTCTGCACAAATGTGAACAGATGTCACCTTTTTCATCTAAGTCAGAATCAGATTCATCTGAGCTTTCAACAACTTCCATGTCATCATCTTCATCTTCATCTTCTTCCTCATCCTCATGATCACTTATTTCTTGAATTTCTTCCTACAAGCAAAGGAGGGAAAACTTAGTCCAAATCTACATTTAACCACTTCTCTTTGGGTATGTCTACACTACAGTGTTATTTTGAAATATCTTATTTCGAAATAACGCATCTAGACACAAAATGAATTTTGAAATAGAACGTCCACACTGATAGGATGCTGAATCACATTTAAGGTGGGCTGGAACCAGTTCTGGAAGGGCATCAGGTCAGGAGTTAGCCTCAGACAGCAGCCACACAAGGTATCGGAGACATGTGTTTAAAGTGATCCCTCCGGACAGCCGGTTCTATGGCTTCCCTGCTTGCTTTCCTACCTCGATGAGGGATAGCGACAAATTTTTTCACTGCGTGCTCTGGTTGCCTCATTCAGGACACCACAACACTCTGCAGCATGGAGCTCGAGCCGCCCCTGGGCACTCTGGTGCTTCTCCTGGGCCTGTTGCTGTGAGCCTGGCAGCACGTTCTGCAGGCAGTAACAGTCTCCCTGGTGTGCCCCACTTGGGGCTTGTGACTCATTCCTCCCTCACATTCTTCCACTTACCCCTCCCTAACCCCCCTTTCTGCTGCACAATAAGAGAGACATGTGATCATTACAACAAAGCCTCATTATTGAATAAAACTGGGGTGGGGGGGGGAATGAAACTGAGGTGAGACTGGGGAAAGAAAATGGGAGAAAGGAGGAGGGAGGGTGGGAGAGGAAAACTTGGGAGGAGGGAGCTGGCAGGTGGAGGCAAGGGGAAGAAGGGGGAGGAGAAACTCAGGGGGGTCTCGCTGGCCCAACTGTCTCCTCCTAGCACCACGGATGTGGGGGCCTTGGCGTCTCTGGGGGTTTGAGGAGGGTGGGGAGCAAGAAGCAGGAGGAGGAGAAGGAGTGGGAGGAGGAGCGGTAGCTGGGGAGGCAGCAGGGGCTGGAGCAGCAGGAGGCAGCAAGCTCTGTCACAGGGTCGATGACTACCTGGGGGGCACGGACTGTCCTGTACCTCAGGATGTTGTCCAGGGCATCAAAATAGGGGCAGGAGTCTGGGTCTGCCCCTGGTTAGGAGTTGCCCCCTGTCGCCCTGGCATATGCCTGCCGCAGCTCCTTTATTTTCATGCGAACCTGCTCCTAGGTTCGCATGTGGCCTTTAGTGGGCAGGCTGCCAGCCATCCGCCTGTAAATGGTTGCGTTCCTCCGTCTAGTGTGGAGATCATGGATGTTGGAGGCATCCTCTCAAACCTGTATTAGGTCCCTGATCTCCGCACTGGACCAGGCAGGTGCCCACCTTTTCCAGCCCCTGGCAAACTCCTGGGAGCTGGCAGACTGGTCCTGAGGAGCGCTGGAGGGCTGGCTGGCAGTGGCTGCCTGGCTCATGACCACTGGGTCAGTGTCAGGTGCTCAGTTGCAGTGACTGCTGGCTCTGGGCTGGCAGGCTTGGAGCTGGCACAGGCACTGTGGCCAGACTCTACCCCTTTAAGGGCTTGGGGGGTGACGGAGGGGAAAGGAGTGTGATGGCGCGTTGGGGTTTCCCCATCTCCTGCACCCCCATAGTGGCACGAACAGACTCCACCAGCCAGTAGAATAGAGGAAGTTTATTGCTTCTCCAGGATACAGCACAGCACAGATGTAATCTGGTTACAGGAACTGGGGGTAGGAGGTCTCAGTGCCCCCCCTTGAGATGGGGGGTGGCTGGGCCCTACAATCCCAGCCCCCCTCCCTATCTCCTTCTCCCCTGCTTCCCAGACCAAAACTACCACTCTCTTCCAGCCCTGCCTCCCAGCCAGGGCTCCACTCCGCCTTCTTCCCATTGTTCCACTCCCTGGGAGATAACTGGTAGGACAGGTTTGGAGCCCCCTTGCATAATGACTCATCCCATACCCTGCTGGGCCGTGCTACAGACAGCAGAGGTCACCCACAGCCCACTGCCCAGCATAGCAACCAGCAAGGTACCCCCCACTACGTCACAAGGAGTTTTCTTGGTTTTGCCCAGAGTGGCCACCAGGGCACCCTGGGAAGGGCTGGAGGCCCCCTATTTCGAAATAAGCGTCTACCCAGCGCTTATTTCGAAATAGCGCAAATTTCAAAATTGCTACTCCTGGTGGAATGAGGTTTACCAATTTTGAAATAAGCCCTCCACTATTTCGATTTAATTTAGAAATAGCGGTTTGGCTGTGTAGACATACCCTTTGACACCAATATCAACTTGAAAGTACATGGAAGTAAATCAGACTAGTATATCATCCTTTAAGTACTTACCACTTCCAATTCATTATTCTCCCTCTCAGAAATACTTTTTTCATCTCTTTTCTCCTGTTCATTGTCTGGGTTCTCCTCTTTAACGCTATTAAAAGAAAGTGTGAATGCTAGATTAGCTCATTGACATTATTGTAGTATTTTTTCCCCTAAGCCGGTAACCTGCCCTAAGCACTTGTAAAAACATAATGCTCCAGAAAAAGAAGAAAAAAAAATTAACTAGCCAGGAAAAACACCACTTCTATACCTCCACAGATAATATAATGCCTTGATTTTTATTATCATTATATAATCTTAGCTTATACTAGGAATGTGAATAGTTAACCAGTGGCCTGGCACAGCCTCTAGCCCAACATAGGCAGAGGGCTGCTCTAGCCCAGGAGGACCCACTATGGGCTGGGGTTTCACCAACCTAGCTGCAGCTGGTGGAGGGATGACTGCAGTCTGTCTGCCCCCATTTAAGCAGTTAACTGGCTAAATGTAATGCTGTAAGGAGATAACTGATTAAATGGGGTTTTATATCCCTAGTTTATACAACACTATTATTGATTATAAAATAATGTTAGATTTACCTTTAGAATATTTAATTTTATAACTAGAAATTTAAGTAGCTGGAAAAAAACATATACCATAGCAGTCCCCTCGGAATAGAAATTGCAATGTAGCCCCTGTAATTTTTACTAAGTACACTAGAAGAGTATTTAGTGTGTGATTTAGCATACAGCAGATTTTCTTGCACTGTCTAATCTGTCATACTGTTTATCATCTGCAAACTCAGGCATAAGGCCTGAAAAACAGAATCCAAACTTATTAAAACTTAATTGCTTTTTGGAGCCTATACATTAAAACATGCTCAAAGTAAGCATTGATATGCAGCTGGTCCCCGAGTTATGAACGCATCAATTTACGACCGTTCATATTTACGACCAACCTCCTATACAGCCGGAATCCAAATTATGAACGAAATCCGCACTTACGAACAGCGCGGCCGTATGTCAGTGAATGTAATCTGACTTACGAACACATCGAGTTATGACCAAGTACTTGGAACGTAACTCATTCGTTAGTCGGGGACCAGCTGTGCTATAAAACATCATAAGAAACCCTGAATAGGAATTTTGCCATAGGACACTATTTCAAAAAGCAACTTTTTCATTTGTCAAGCAGGCATTTTAGATTTTTTGGAAGAACATTTACATTCTTCTTGCATTTAGAATATTGTTCAATCTTACTTGCATGTCACACATCTCTTTCCTCTCTTGAAAATGTGAACTGTAATGACTGGTGTATTAAAACTGACTATTATAAGCACAACCATTAGAAAAGAGAATTATATTCTACTTCATTCTTTTAAGTGGCAGGTTATGATGGAAAAGCAAAATTCACAGTTAAAAGTCAAGTACCCAATTCCAGTTACTTCATTTACAAATACTTAATTCACTCTACAGCTAAGAAAAAGGGGTCATTTAGCATATTATAATCTAAACCCATCATTATTCCTCTTCTTTCAGGTTCCACAGCTTCTACCATCACCTGGGCTGACTGTCTTCTGAAGATACCCAACACATTGTGATATAACAGTTGTTCTAGAGGCCAATTGAAATTAGCTCACTGCAAGCAGGGCAAATATTTCTTAAATATATTCCATGTCCTTTCCTCATATAAAATTCTCAGTGGGGTGGCCATGTTAGTCTGTAACTTTAAAAGCATCTAGTAGCCACTCAAGCTCATCTGAAGAAGTAGGCTTTGCCCACGAAACCTCATGATACTGTGTGTGTATGTGTGTGTGTGTACATATTATACACACACACAAAGACTATATATAGTCTCTACGGTGATACAGGACTACTTGTTCTTATATCATATATTCATTTTTGAACATGTAATTGCCTGAAAAAACACATTTTATGTTAAAAATTCAACTTTTTATTTATTCATTTTTGTTAAAAATTCAACCCTGTCTGAGTGAATCTGACTTTCCAGTACAGATTTATAAGTAATATATGCTGAAGCATCAGCTCAAACATAAGCAACAGACTGGACATTACAGAACCAAAAATAATTATAGTTTTATGTAAATTTGCTGATCATCATTCAGTCTGGCAACTGTGGATACCAGCACATTCATGAAGTGCCTGGTATTTGGTACAAGACTTTTCATAAATCAGATATAAATTGTGCTTCTAACTGTAACTATATATATGGCACTATCTTACACTGCAGATCTGTTTCCCACACATATTCAGAGTTTTAAATGTTTAATTTTACTCCTGTTAGCAATGTAGAGCTAGCTGTATTCTGTTCTGGTCCATGCTTCATTAATAGAACTATTTACAAAACTACAATTGTAGAATCTTTATTGCTGACAAGAACCCAGCTTGACTTTCAGATTCCAGGAAGGAATCTGCAAGGCTGATGGCTTTCTTGAAATTTCAATCACACACCACTGAAATTAAAAGAAATTTTGTACTGACTTTAGTGAAACATGGATCAAGCCCTATGAAAACAATTTTTGCCTGTTTTAATCTCACTCCATACATTTCTTATTGGGAATCATTATTACCCTACACACACAGCTGGGATGAACACCTGACTTTCAGAATTTAAGAACTTCTTAACCTACCATTACTGGGGACTGCAAGAATGATGTCTGCAGCTATTCTCAGGGTACATTTACATTGCATGCAATATGGGTGTGTAGTGTATGTGCTCAGTCACCCCCTTCCCGCCCCCCAGCATTATTATAAATAAGAGTGAACTAGGTAGGCAAGAGTTAGGAGAATAAATTCGTGCCCTACATGGCTTGCCACTAGCACAAGCTATGCCTCCCTGTCTACACTACTATTTTGAGCAGTGTAATGTGCCACTGCTTCCTCGTTGCCAGAGCCTTTCCTGATGCAGGGAAAGATTCCAGCAAAGATAAGCAGTGGGCTTAAGCTCTGCCAACTGCTTATCCTAATACTTTGCCCTTAGAAGAGCCTTACCTACCTGTAGTGAAAGGCTATGGCAGCCAAATCTGCTGAAATCTTTCCTTACTGTGGAAGTCTTTCAATGACATGTAGCTATACACTGCAGGGTGAATGAAGCTTGGTTTTTACTGCAGTGTGCAGTCTACATGTATAATATAGATTGCCAAATCTAGTATGGATTATATACATGGTCTCATAGACTAGAAGCATTAATTCCCCAACATTAACAGCCCAAAAGGCAAGAGCCCAAGGTTAGCCTTAACCACAGTTACATACAGTATGTTTCTTCCTGTTTTTTTAAAATTGAAAGAAAAACCAGTTTTTAAAAGCCCCAATAAACTTTACTATATGTGTCTAGGAATCTACTGATAGAATTGCCTTTCAAGTATGGCAACTAAATTAATGTAAATTACAGTTTAATTAAAAATGTGGGAAAATTCCAACCTTCTTCCTTCTTGATTGCTTTCCTCAAGTTTCTGTAGCCTTCAAAAGCAGGAGGTACAGTATTGGAAGGCCAAGCCAATGAAGGACAAACCAGACAGTGAAAGCGAAAGTGGCAAGGAAGGTAAAAATGATACATGAGCTTGTGGACTTTCAAATGAAACTTAGAAAGCTATCATCAAAAGACGACAAATAGTAAAAAGGCAATACATTTTGTGCAGTTGGAAAGTAAAGTGAAAACAAAGAGTTGCTGTACACTAGACAGTGTTTCTACTATCTGAGGTTGGCCAGTCTATCATCATAAAGTACTATAGCTGTCTATACTTCAAGTTGCACTAGTGAGGGGGGTTTTGGAAACACAACAGCTTATTTTATTTTGAGAATCATTGCTAATGAGCTTTTAAAAAGTATGATCTTCAAAGATAATTGTTTCTTCTCTTTGGTCTTCAAAAGACCCTTTAAATCAGTATAAAAGGCCGTTAACAAAATATTGTTTTAAAATTTCAAAAAGTACTGCCTTTAAACCTTACTAACAAAATATATATCTCCGCTATGTACTAGGATGCTAAAACAATACACTAATTTTATATTATATATGCTACAGGTATCTACATATACATTTTGCATTAAAAGAAGAATATACAGAAAACTTCCAATCTAACAGAAAAACCAAAGTGATACATTCTGCCATAACACAGAGATATATCTGCATTCTGAAGCTGCTGCATTTTTAAAGATTTTAAGGCAAAATATTATAGTTTACTCTAGTGGGATGAAAAATGTATTTGCCACTTATTGCTTGTTGCAACATCAACAAAAGAGTACAAATCAGAAGCAATGGGATGGGAAAAAAATACCAGGAATGTTTTTAAACAAGAGATGTATTACAGTAAGGAGATGGGTGAAAGACTTTAATAAATGCAGCAATGTCCTAAATTACTGAAAATATTTTAAAATTTTGCTCTCTCATTCAAAATTAACAACTAATTTTGAGTTGAACTTATTAGAATGCCTGCTTATTGGGCAGCTTCTTTTTTAATTAACTGGGACTTACACGTTCATATGTAAAATACTAATTATGTTGATTCTTACTTAATTTTATCGATATACTAGTGTGAGAAAAGCAACAGCAAGAACTGTTAGTATAGGCAACAAAATGGTTACAAAATACACAAAAATAATTTCAGACTGAAACAGGCAAGGAAAATTTACCCCAGGAGCTGAGAGATTAGGTTACATTGATTGGAGAACAATGTACTCAGCTATGTGACAGTTACACCAGCCATGCTAGCCAGCTGATTTCTAAATGTAGGAAGTTTTAGGCCAGCAGTTCATCAAGTGCTTCACTTTCAAAGCACTACATACCTGTTGCTCCTTTAAAAAAAAGCAGTTAGGCATACAAGCAGATTTCAGGTGACTTTACAGTGATTTAGAAACACCTATTTAAGAGGATGCATCACTAGTCACACTGACTCATGTGACTAGAACAATACTGTATAAAAAGAGGTGACATGGGACACCCCAGAATGTGTTGAAATGGTACACATGCCCCTCCATCTCCTAACTCTGGAAGGAGACTCAGGCAGCGGCTCTCTACAGTCAGAGTACATGCTCAGATCTTTCAGCCGGTCCAAAAGCTCCCTCACTGTCCTGAGTGAAGTACCGCCCATTCGGGTGACAAGAAAGGGGTGTGAATGGGAAGTAGGGGGCACAGCTCCCACTCTGGTCCTGCTGTGAACAGGGACCCAGTAGCTGCCATCTTCCCTCTTGGCCATGCCAGAGACAGCAGCATCAATGGAATATCGAGCTAGGAAGCATCCCCATGCAATAGAAGAACTCCTGCCAGAGTCTGAGGTCCATGGACTGGGACAGGGGTTCCCAGCACTTCCCTGAGTTCCTAGCCCCTTCACTGGGTGGGGATGTGGATGCCACAGTTTAACATCTCCAGTGTGAGTGTCAAGTTACAAGCTATCGGGCCATCTACGCTGCTGTCTGAGGCTTGGCCCAGAGAGGAAGAGGCATTTGTTGGGTCTTAACTCAGAGTCACCCATAACACTGTGAATAAGGTATATATGGCTGTGAGTGCCACTGGCTGATATATGGGCCAGGTCAAACCAAATCTTCAGAACATTATGCATGTACAAGGGCTAGGTTATTCAGGCAACTTTAAATGAATGAAAATCCATAACAAGATACTGTACAGTCAGGGCAGCTAAATGTCTGAAACAGGAGTTTATCTGAAAGAATCCCCAAACCTCAGGGCAATTTGTCCATTTTTATTCATCAGCTAATCCATTGCTGACTACTGAAATTGCAGAGGATCAAATGTAAAGAATTCTCTACTAGAAACACCCAGTCTGCAGTTCATTAAGTTGATGGAGGAATCCACATTTTAATATCATAGCATACTTCTATGATACTCCAAACCCTAACATTTCTCACCATTCAAGAGGTTTTCTCCTGTGTGTTTTTAACTACATGCAGAACAGCAATTTATATAGTGGTATACTTTAGATAGATTATTCCAAGGAGCATCAGCCATATATTTTGCTTTACACAGATAGCAATACAAACCCTACGGGTATTCATAAACCATGATCCCATTCAATAATCACAAGGCTAAAAAAGTGAGCCCAAATGCATCATTTTCTGACCCTTAGCACCTGAGCAGACAACAACAATCATTCGATCGCTTAGGAATTAAACAAGGACATGATTTTCATGTTATACATTTGTAAAACATATAGAGCACCTGCCCTCAATCACCCTAAGCATATTTACACCAGCCCAGAATCTGGCTCATTCCAATAGCCAATTCTGGAGTTCAGTTTCCTCCTGCTGTAATGGAGATTTCAAAAAAAGGGAGAAATAAATAAATAACTACATACTCCTTTGTGTAACTCTGTATTTGAATTCTTCATCATAAGATTTTACTACCTTTATCTTCCTCTTCAATACATTCTTTTTCAGGCTTGACTTTGCAAAGTGCTGAACAGTTGGGCTCTAGTTTAGCAAATCACTTACTTTTTTTTTTTTTTTTAAACAAGAGTAAATCTCAGAACATATGCTTAAATTTGAACACATAAAAAAGTATTTTGCTGGATTGTGATTACAATGCACCTTCTAGGTCAAGTCCACAAAAAGATATATAAGAGGTGAGGTACTGAAAATTCCAAACAGATTTGAAAGTTCCCTACAGATATAGGCACTAAGAAAAATAGCGCCCATGAGAGATGGTCAATTTCTACAAGCAACAGTCAGTATTTTTTTAAATCACCTCCTGCAGTTATGACTTTTATAAATATAGGACTCAATCCAGCAGATCAGGGGTGGGGAAACCTCATGCTTGGCTTGCCTGGATCTGGGCTCCCGATGCTCAAGGTCCCTCTACCCCCAGCACTGGGGAGCCTGAACCAGTGCTCCTGCCCCCTGCTATGCCACCGAAGACCTGGGGCACAGAAAATCTAGGAGGCTGGGCCCCCTAGGTTCTGCTGTGTGAGGGGAATACAGCGAGTGTCTTTCTGCTTCTCAGTTGGGGATACATCAGTGAGGGTTTGGGGTTTTTTTGTTTGTTCGATAGTTTTGGGACTTAGGGGGCTTTTTGTTTGTTTGTTGTGTTTTTGGCTTGTCCCTTGTGTGCGGGCCCCCAACTGACTTTTCTGTGGGCCAGCGGGCCCTGACCCAAAATGGTTCCTCACCCCTGCACAGATCTTCCTTATACAGAGCTACTGGCCTCAATATTTCATATTTGTAGCAAATGTTTTTAAGGCTTTGTTAAAATTTGTGATAACTTTTTTTGGTATAAGTTTCAATCACCAATAAAAATAACAAGTATAAGCATGGCAATATTTCAGAGAAAAGAGGGCTATTTGATATCGAGAGGTATCAATGAATGGAACTTTGATCTCTGAACAGGCATTTATATAAATGTCAGTGACCATTTCAATAGGTTAGACATTGAATAAAAGAAAAATGAAGCATGAGATTTCAGTGAAGTAGTGAATCTTGAATAAAAACAGGGATAGAAGGTGAAGATGTAAAAAAGCAAAAGAAGCCATTCAAGCGCTACTAATAGAATTCCCAACAGCTTTTTAGGATATCTTTTGAAGCAATCCTTGTGTTTCAATGGAGTTCACAAAATAGTTATTTTCTCTCACTGGAATATCAAATTTATGGGAAGACAACAAAATACATCTAATTTGTACTTTTATAGTTTCAAAATTATTCCAAGTTTCAAATGATAAAAACATGCACTAGAACTGAGGCTCTGATTCTTCAAATGCTTCATGTACTTAATTTTACAGAAAGGAAGTCAGTGGAAACACACATTCATAATGCTAAGTATGTACGTAAGTGTTTGCAGGATAAGGAGCTTAGAGCCCCATCCTGTGCAAGGACTGCAATACATTTTTAAAACTCACTGGTTAAAATACATCCCTTTGCATAAAAGGGATTTAAAATATTTAAAAATATGGATTTTAAATGCTACCTCTTTTTCTTCTTCTTTTCTTTTTTTTTCAGTTTTTCTAAATCTCTCTTAGCTATATCAAGAACTTCCAAAGTTTCTTTTTCTGAAGAAAGCATACAAGCAGAAAATGCTGAAGGGCCTCCAAAATACGATGGTCTTGATGAAGCTCTTGACAAGCTGCGTCGAAGATTTTCGTTAACTGCTTCACTTTCTAATAATTTTGCTCTAACAAAGGAAAACAAAAACATCAAAAAAGCCTTGAGATATCATACAGTTATAAATACAATGGCTATATGAAGAGTATAGTTTCACAGCTCCTGAATTAAACAGTCTTCAAATTTTAAATCAAATTCTAATCCATTGTAAAACATATATAAAGTATTAAGAAAAAACACACTGACATTTCCAGAGATCACACGATTTTATATCATGACTCTACCAACTCATTTATGCTACATGGGAATTGGGCTGGATCACTACTTGCACGGTAATCTCTAAGGAACAATGAGGTTAAGTCTAAAAAAGTTACCAGTTAAATTCACAATAATCTTTATTTTCCTTTAAAAATAGAGGGAATGTACAACAATCTTAGATTCTCTTTTGTTTCTGAGGTGTTTAAGTATTTTTTCAAATACCAACACTTATATAAAGTTACTAGGTTCTTCAAACCCATAAAGATACATCCAATTTTCATTTTTAGCTCTGCTAATGATATGAGTAGCAATCTGGAAAGCATTTATATTCTGAAAGGTTTTTCCTACCTATATGTGAAACTCAAAGCACCAGAGCATGCTTACAAGTACCTGAGATCTTCAATTTCCTTGATATAGTTATGAATCATGTTGCCAATTTCTTCATTCCCTTCTCCTTTAAGAGAGACAGAGAAAATGATGTAAAGTAACATGCATATTAAATTAGTAAGGATGCAGTAGAACAGAGCTACTAAAAACGTACATTGTGATTTGGGTTTCCCACTTTACATTTTCTCCTCATTTGTGAAAGAGAGATCATCAATAACCTGATGTGTTTACAACCAGCAATGTTTTTTCCAAAAGGAAATAAAAAGATCTGGTGAAACGAAGAACTTAACAGCAGTGTAATGTATATCTGTAAGTAAAGTGTCACACTGAACAGCTACCAGGTTTGCAACTCAAATGACACTCTCTGCGAAGAAGCAATGTTAAAGTAGTAGGCATCAAAAATCTTGACACACCAAGGTTATAACGACAAACTCCAGGATTTGGGCCTAAAATTTTCCATGTATAGGAACTTACTGTTTCCTATCAGAGGGGTAGCCGTATTAGTCTGAATCTGCAAAAGTGGCGAGGAGTCCTGTGGCACCTTATAAACTAACTGAAGTGTTGGAGCATAAGCTTTCGTGGGCAAAGACCCACTTCATCAGATGCATGTAGTGGAAATTTCCAGAGGCAGGAATAAATATGCAGGCCAGAATCAGGCCGGAGATTCTGACTGGATCCACCTTGTCATCTCCAGCCTGATTCTGGCCTGCATATTTATACCTGCCTCTTGAAATTTCCACTACATGCATCTGATGAAGTGTGTCTTTGCCCACAAAAGCTTATGCTCCAACACTTCAGTTAGTCTATAAGGTGCCACCTGACTCCTTGCCGCTTTTACTGTTTCCTGTGTCCTTTATTTTATTATTTAATTTGAACAGTTTACATTTCATTATTATCTCTGTTCCTGTGGACATTGATAACAATAACAATGGCCAACAGATGCACATTGATTCCTAACAGCTTTTCAAATATGAACTTTCCCAAGTTGCACAACCTCTTTGCTCCACTCTGCGCTAATTAGGCCTCAACTGGAGTATTGTGTCCAGTTCTGGGCACCACATTTCAAAAAAGATGTCGAGCCATTGGAGAAGGTCCAGAGAACAGCAACAAGAATTGATGAAGGGTCTAGAGAACATGACCTATGAAGGAAGACTGAAAGAACTGGGCTTGTTTAGTTTAGAAAAGAGAAGACTGAGAGGGGACATGATAGCAGTTTTCAGGTATCTAAAAGGGTGTCACAAGGAGGAGGGAGAAAAATTGTTCTCCTTGGCCTCTGAGGATAGGACAAAAAGCAATGGGCTTAAACTACAGCAAGGGAGGTTTAGGTCGGACAGTAGGAAAAATTTTCCAACTGTCAGGGTGGTTAAAGAATGGAATAAGTCACCTAGGGAGGTTGTGGAATCTCCATCTCTGGAGATATTTAACAGCAGGTTAGACAGACATCTATCAGGGATGGTCTAGATGGTACTGGGTCCTGCCATGATGGCAGGGAGCTGGACTCGATGGCCTCTTAAGGTCCCTTCCAGTTCTAGTGTTCTATGATTGTTGGGCAAAGGGGAAAGTAGCTTCTGAACCTGCTTCCACCTCTTTCTGTTGGCTGCAATTTTATATCTGGGAAAACTGAAGCTAGGTTTTAAAATGGAATTGGCCACATTCACACTAGCCAGTTGAACCATATAATACAGTGATTTATAAGACTGTGAATGCACACAGGCCTTAAAAGATAGCTAGCTATGAAGCCAGTGTAGATGTGAATGTGTGGCTATTTATACAATAAACAGAATTAGCCCCAGCTAGACCACCATGGCCCTGTAAGTTTCATTAATGTGCATCAAGAGGGTCCAGAGGTGTTCCGTTTAAGAAATGAACTGGCCATTCTCACCTCCCACTCCAGCATCAAATTCCCATAATTTTAACACCAGTACAGATGAATCAGCTAGAGCCCTAATGTAGACAAGTGTCTGGTATGCGGAGAAGCAAGTTTCATTAGCACAATGGTAAAATGGTTGTAGTCACAGGAACTTTATCTACATTTGGCCTTCCACCAGTTCTAATGCTGGTTCAGCTGAACTGATGGGATTTTTTTTTTAAATGATACCCCAAGTGCAGACAGGGTCTTTAAAAGGTGAGTTTACAGTGTAACCAGTCTGAAATGTATGTTTCCTCGTTTGTGCCACAAGTTCAACATTTAAACTGATTTTTTTCTATTTATTTTCTATATTAGTTAATGATGAAAATATATCAAACACAATTGTAACAATGTAGGATATGTACATAGCTCCTCAGATTGCTCTGAAACTATATGCAAAATGAGCAGTAGATTAAACAATTTCAAACACTTAGTCTGCAGGGCGAGAAATCATAACAACATCCACCAATTCAGTATATAAGCCCCAATACAAAGAAATGCATCTAAGCATATGAGTAATCCCATACACTGGGACCATTCGCATGTTAAAAGTAACTTGCATACTGAAGAAGTCTGGTCAATTGAGGCCTTAACTTACATACTACAAAGATTTTAAAGTAATAGAATAAAGATGGATAAGAGGGGATTTTTTTTCCTGAAGAAGCAGGTTTGCTGTTGCTGCCCTAAGCAAAGAACTCCAAAAAATGAAAAAGCAAAAGTCTGGCTGCCTCATTAATAACTGTATTAGACAGTTTTTCAATTTTAAAAAGTACACAATACCTGCTCTTGCAAGGACCTGGTTGGCCTGATCACTCAGAAGCTGTGTTATTCTGGCTCTTTGTGCATCAACAGTTTCTTGCATTGCTTTAACTCTAACACGCAGGTTATTATTTTCTGTTTGCAGCATAGCATTTTCATGAAACATGTCACTGATGCTTTCCACACCTTCTTCATTAATCATCCTTTTGCCCTAAAAAAATGCATTATTAGTAAACACTGACCTGAACCAAACTGTCATTCAACTCAAAAACTTAAAATTTCCTACACTTCCTACATGGTGGAAGAATACATTTCTCAAAACAGTTTTGTGCTGAAATTATTTTAATAGGTTCCTTCAAAATTATCTCAGCTTGTAATAAGCCATAGGAACATGGATTAACAGGTGAGAGGAAATGAAGAATCCATTGCTTTTCATATTAAAATGAAAATATTTTCTCAAAGCCATCACCAAGAAAGGAGATTGCCTGATAAACAAAACTTAACAATAGTACATTTGCTGGAAATATTTCTACTTTGTTGCTGAAAAACACAAAGTAGCAGTGTTCCCTCTAAGCTGCATGACAGCACAGCTTCACAGGTAATTAATTAGCCCTGCCCAGTCAGAGGCTCAAGGCTCAGTGCAAGGAGCTGACAGATTGTGCGGGGCTGATTAATCACCCGTGAAGCTGTGCTGCCTCACAACTTAGAGGGAACATTGCTAAGTAGGCATAGTGAATATGAGTATTCAATGGCTGCGTCTAGACTGGCAAGTTTTTCCGCAAAAGCAATAGCTTTTGTGCAAAAACTTGCCAGCTGTCTACATTGGCCGCTTGATTTTGCACAAAAGCACTGACGTTCTACTGTCTGATATCAGTGCTTGTTGCGCAAATGCTTTGATATTCCTGTTCGGGCAAAAACACTTTTCTGGAAATGTTTTTGCGCAAGAGGGCCAGTGTAGACAGCTAAAAACTGTTTTGCGCAAAAAAGCCCCTATGGCGAAAATGGTGATCGGGGCTTTCTTGTGCAAAACCACGTCTAGATTTTGTGGAAAAACGTCCGTGCCAATCTAGACACTCTTTTCTGCAAATGCTTTTAACGGAAAAACTTTTCCGTTAAAAGCATTTGTGGAATATCATGCCAGTCTAGACGTAGCCAATGTGTATAATTTAGACTGTAGTTTTTAAAAAAGTCCAGAATTTACTTTGTTGTTTCAAGAACTCTGCACAAAACATTCAATGCATGACCTGTTCTCTTGCCAGTCAAACCAGTACAGCAATCTCTAGAACTGGGAGGCAAAATTTTCAAACGCTAAAAATATACATGATAGGTTTTAAAACCTTTAATCAACACAACAATAACATTCCTAAAAAAATAACACTCTTACTCAGGTGCCATCCTAAATTGATGTGCAATCTGCCTCCGCGGTTTAGCGGTGAATGAAATGTTTTCTATATAGGTTAGAAGATCACATTCTGCCTTCTAATACGCAACTTCCAATGATGTCAACAGTAGTTATGCATTCATATCTGAAGGTAAAATTTGGGATGCAACCACATGCCATATAAATTAAAGATATTATTCTACATTCTTTACTTGTGTGCAGAAGAAGCAGCTAACAGGAAAATGTGTTGTGAAATTTTAGTGATATTCTAAAATAAAACCTAATAAATTTACTTACTGTTTTGTACTCCATAAGTTCCATCTGAAGACGTGCAATCTCACTGCGCAAACCATTAATTTGTTGACTGGCCCTGTCCTGATTAACCATCACCTTGTTCTTGATGTTCCGTGCCCGATTGGCATACTTTAATGTGTTCAAAGTTTCCATGAAGTCTCTGTCTGAAGGGCTCACACATGCTATCATGACTGTTTGGCTGTGAATTATAGACATAGGTCAAGTTTATAAATCAAAACAAAGAACCCTTTAAATTATGCAAAACACCCCATGTGTCGTAGCATCAATATATCAACTGAAACAAACACTGTTACAAAAACACTGACTTTAACTTTTAAAATGTTCTGTATCTGATTTACACCATTATAATAGAAATTGTGAGTTAATGTTGCCATTTTGTTAAACCTTTTTACTTTAGTATGTAAAATGTTAGATCAATAACTGATCTGATATCCTATATATAAGTAAATGGTACCATATATAGCTGATCATAAGCCTGTACACTCATAAGCCGACCCCCTCAAGTTAAAATAAATTGTAAAAACTGCAATGACCTGTTCATAAGCCGACTATGTCAGTGGTTTGCAAACTTCCAGTGCCAGCTTGTCAGTCAGCCGCTGGCACGTTGGGATGTTTGTTTACCTGGGGCGTCTGCAGGCATGGAGTCTTTCAGCTGCCTCTGGCTGTTGTTCGCCATTCCCAGCCAGTGTGAGCTGCAGGAAGCAGCACAGGCCAAGGGACGTACTGGCCATCACTTTCTGCTGTTCCTGTTGATCCAGAATGGTGAACTGCAATCACTGAGAGCTGAGGGGCTCCATGACTGCACCATTCCAGGTACATAAAACATCTCTGTGTGCCAGGAGTTTATCTTTCTGGGCTGGCAACTAAAGTTTGCCTCCCCTCCACCCCCCCAACTTAAAAACAAAGTGTTAAAACACGACTCATTCATAAGCCAATCCCCTGCTCTTTACTGTGTCATTTTTTACCAAAAAACAAATAGGCTTATGATCAAGCATATATGGTAATTATTTGGCATTTATTAGTTCTTTATATATTCAAAGACTTTATAAAAAGAGAAACTCATTAATCGGTCTGTCAGGTCCTTATCATCCCCATTGTACAGCTTGGGAAGCTAAACTGGAAAAGGTAAACAACTTGCCCAAGCCCTCAATGTCAGGGCACAGACTAGAACTTTAGAATTCTTTATTTGGTTCACTTCATGCACCCAGGCACCAATTCAGCAAGTACTTAAGCACATGCTTAACTTTAAGCATGCAAGCAGTCTTATTATAGTGCAAAACTGAAGATAACACAGCTACTTGAGCTTCAATGTACTTTGCTCAATCAAGGTGTTTGACATCATACTATACTTCCCTTTGACCCACTGAGTGGTATCTTCAGCTCTGCTTTACCATCAGTGTTTCACGAACTATTTTAACAAAATTAATTTTATTCCCTTCATTTTACTTCTCTTTTATTTGAACATAATATGAAAAGTGAACACATTTCTTGATATATACTGCCTGATGCAAAGTCCTTTCAGATAAAACAGCATCAGTGCTCAGTATCTTTAGACACATTATGCACACAAAAGATTAAATATTTAAATCCTTTTGGCAGGATTATGAATAGTGAGAACAGTACACATGGACACAACAGCAGTATTACCATAATCTAAGATCTTTGGGGTGCAGTACAACATAAAAATTCTTGTTACCAGCAATCTTATTTTGTAATAAAAGATTGTATGTAGTATGTCCACAGCATTTACAATATATAGTCAATAGAATATGTTCAATGGAATGTTACAGTATTCAAAATTATATAAAAAATGTATAGTGCACACAAGCAACAGCTGCTTCTCAAAGTTAATGAAATCTGATATTTAAAACAAAATTAACAGACCATTTTAATTAATTATTCATTTTAACAGGTAAAGTGCACAACTAATGAAAAGAAGTACAGTATGTACTGATTGCTACCATAACAAGAATATGGGACAGCTAATTGAAAAAAATTAATTTTATTTCTGCAAGGACAGTATAGATTTCAAATTTTGATTAACCATCCTCTGTGAAATATTTTGGCAATTCTAGGGCTGGTAAAGATATCACTCAGGATATCATTATAACGGATTGGGACATCCAAAGTGTCATGCAGCCGTTCAAATCTTTTTTAAAGTATTATGATAGAACTTTTATCTAGGTTACCACACACATGCACACACTTTTTTAGGGGTGTATATCTAGGTTCAAAGACAATACCCTCTTCGGTGGCACCAAACACAATATCTGTTTTTAACTGGTTCTATCTAGAGACAATTCTGGTTATATAATAGCTTTGTTTTCTTTTCCTTATGATTCAATTCAACATAACATCATTAAACATACGAGCTGCATAAACACTGAGGAAGATGGCCCTGCAGGAGGCACAGAGAGCATATGCTCAGGAACCCTGAGGCCACTCCCAGGAGATGGACTACAATACTTAATCAGATTGGGAGAGTCAGACTCCACCCCAAAGAAAGAAACCTAACCTGGTATATGCAGCTGCTGTCGGCAAGCATTTCCCCAGTGAGTGGAAAGTAGCATACATGGATGTGTATTATAAGGAGGTCAATGGAGATTTGTTAGCCAGCAGCTGTAAAGCTCTTTCTCTACGATATAGAGTTTATATATTTTAAATTATTATTGACATTCTCATGGAAATGTTTGTTTTCTGGAATTCATCTGAGCCTGGATACTTATTCCTTAATTAGCTGATTAATGTTTATGATGACTTTGAAGATGAAAAGAGTTAAATAAATGTTTAAGTATAGAGTATTATTACTCATTGAAGTCATAATCTTCTGTTTGTATCACAGTCATCTCCACAGTAACTCAATGTGATTAATGCTACAGGTTAGGGACTTGACTAGAGGAATAAGCAGGAGGGAATTAACTCTTCAAATCAAGCTTAGAAAATTCATGAAAACATATCAGCTCAGACTCAAAAATTTATTCAGCTTCTGTTTACAATGACGATTGATATTAACAAAAAACTTTGGTCTTTTACCCAACTATTAAATTACACAAACACGCAAGGATCAACGCCCTAGCAAAAGAGGAGGGAGTAGTTTGAAAAAAATATTTCAGACATACAAATATTATCAGTTGCATGGATGGGAGAACAGACGAATGAGAGATTATAAAGAACAATGTCAAAATATTGAGGGGAGGCAAACTAGATTGCAAAATTAAAATGGCAGTTACATGATTAAATCCCACAGAGTGGGTTTTTTCAGTAAAACACTGCTGGGATTGTTACAATTATATATATACACCATAATTATATTCACAATGAAGAACTCATCTTCTTTCTGACACTAAGTATACTGTAACACATCAAAGGCTGGTCAGAAAATCCCATGTAAAATAAGCCATGTAAAAAACTCTGCTTCAAGCAGAAAGTGACTACAAGTTTCAACCACATTCTAATTAATAAGACTGTGATGCAGAGATGAAATTACAACTTTTTAATTACATGGTTTAAAAAGGATTCTCTTCCTAAGTGGCAACCAAGATTTCAAACAATTTAGCCATAAGCAAAGTATAACCATAATGTGACTGAAAGGACCAATGACAACAAACATAATTTTCCTCCCGTGTTACTAATATCACCTTGGATTTTTCGAAATTAAATTAATCTTCTGTGGCTTTCAATGTTTATACCGTTAGTACTATTTTTTTTTATTTCACTCCTAAGAAAAATAGTGGTCATTTTCACTTTTGTTCATACTATATTTATCATACACCAACACAATACAAAAAGCATTTTTATTTCCAAAAGGGGAAAAGAAAGTTTTCATTTAAATTATGTATTTCTAGTCATCTTGAGCTGTGTAATAATATACATAACATCCAAAACATTTTAGGTCTCAGTTATAATAAATTGATAACATTCTTTAAATTATGCAGTCATCATATCTGGTTCATTGTGATGAACAGCAAATTAGCATATAACAGCAAATTTTCATACCTGTTTCCTCCCAGAGAGTCTTGAAGTAGTCTTGTGAGTTTTGAATCCCTGTATGGTACATGAGTTGCCTTCTTACTTTTATCTCCCAGGGCACTTATTACATTCCCAAGTGCCAGCTAAAAAGATGACAAGTTTTAGAAGTCTGTTATCAAATTTTACAAAACCTTATTTAAAAAAACGTTGCTACTGACTCAGCTACAGTAATTTTTCATGCAATTTAGTATACTTACATGCTGGCAATGATAAATGATTGTTGCAATCTGCTGATTTTAGGAACAAGCAGGTTACATGGCAAGCATATTAAACCCAAAATGGGGATCACATTTTGTTTTGTAACAGTCATTTAATTTGTTAATGGCTAAACTTATAAGTTATTTCTCATAGAAAGTATCTTCCTTATTACATTTTACTAAGTTTTATATTAAAAGAAAAAAAAACAAATATCTTGCATCAGTATTATCCTGACACAAACATAAGGACTGAATACCTCTGTAAATATGAAAGAAGGAATACACTAAACTTTTTTGATTTATTTGGGTACTGGTATAGAATCCTTTAGTTGTGATTTTTCCATTACCATACATGCTATATTATTATAGCAAATTTACTGTATGACCGGGCAAAGACTTATGTGCACATGCAATCCGACTTTCTTCAAAGGGATTATTTTTGTGTAAACATTTGCACTAAAGGAAAACAACATACTACTTTCTTTGAGGTCTTTGCATCTATGTAATGTCAGTTATATTTTTTCTTTTAAATACATAGCACTCGGTGGCACTCTATGCAACTAATTCCCAATATATGCTCGTAAAATGTCTTAACTGAACCAATGATTATGAAATTTCACATTCATTGCTATTTTCAGTAGTGTTCTCTTATGCTTGAATTTGTTTTAGTCATTTGCTATCTATGAATAACAACAAAATACTATATAATAATTCAGCAAATTAAAATGTTTTTCTTTGAAGTAATTTTTCTACGTGCACTTGTGGTGACTTTATAAAAGTAGCACCTTATCACTCAGATTCTATGCAGGTAATATATGTGTTACTAAATAAAGTGCGTAAAACTAAAAACCTCCCGCTAGCTCTGCAGTCAGTACAACTGTGGGAAACAGCTGAACAGTTTTCTGCCTAATACAATGTTAATAGAGCTGATAACTAAGGTCTGGCTGCAGAACCTTTATCACTGGTGATACATGAGTCAGAAAGAAGGAGACAGGTTATGTTCTGATGACAGGCTAAGTGTGCAGTCTTGCTGTTAGAAAGGCAAGTTTTCACCAAATTTTCAACACATTTGGTATCCTCTCCTGTAAAGAAAATTGCACATGCCCTGTATCAACAAAGAGCCCTAATAAACCAGTTAAACCAGCAAGACTCCACAGTGAGTTTTAGAGGCTTGACAAGGAATCACTTATAAGTCTGTCAATTTCCACCATTAGTCTGGTTCTTTCACGCAGCAAAGGGAAGAATTTTCTTTTAATATTAAAATTTAGTTGCTAAATCAATGAAATAGTCAAGGGGACTCAGGAGTAGATATAGGACCAGAAACTACTTTAAATTTTTTGTTTTAAATTTAAAAAAAAAATTTCAAATTGATTGTGTCCTTTTATAGAAATCATAACATCACTATAAGCTTAGCGATCTACTAGATATTTTTAATATTTAAAAATTTTATTACAGCCAACTCATTTTATTTATAGCTTTTGTTTTGCTGCAAGTACTATATTACCACCACTAAAATCAGTAGACAGTACACTTTATCTCAAAATAAGTTCTGCAGAGCCTGAGTTACTTTTAGAGAGAATTACTGATGCCACAGTTTTCCAATTACAATTTAGTGAAACCAAGGATTTGTTAACGAGTATAGGAACCAAGTGATAATGCCTATAAATCATCATTTCTTAGCTCTCATACTGAAATCCTTAATTGTGTCACTACACATATCCATTTCAGAGATTACTCATTGAAAGAGAATGAAAAACAAGGAAAGAGGTTTACAGACTAATAAAATAAGTTCTTAATCTTACTAGTCCACAGTTGATAGAAATGCCTTCTTTTGCTCTCTCTCCAGTAGCTCCTGTACGCTTTAATCTTTCAGATCCTGCCAGATCAACAAAATGGAATTTGGCACTAAGAGTTTCAAACTCTTGCACCTGAGAAGATTCAGAAATTATCTTGTTATCTGTCACAGTGTCCTGCAACAAAGGAGAATTCATAAATTTTTGTGTAACAAGTAAAAAATTAACATACTTTACTGTATATGAACAAGGTCCCTATAGCAATTATTTGACAAGGGACAGTGCTCTCCCCATCTATTTCCTCCTTAATTTAGTACACTAATGTCTTTTTAACAAAATAATTCCTTCCAAATCCTCCCCAAGTTTTAGCTACACACATGAACATGTTTCATAAAAAGCCAACTTGAGACAAGTATCAGCTAGGGATGTTAGATAGCGTGTAACTGAATAGTCGTGTAACTGCACAAATTATTATCAATTACAGAGGCAACAGCAAGAACTATCAACAGAGGGTGTCCAATGTGGTAGTGTTTATGCCTGGGTAGGAATGAGGCTGAGAGCATGACATTGTTTCAGATACACCAATTCCACATCCGAATAGCCTTGGTGCACAGTGAACGGAACCGAGCCTCACCCTGTCAGTTTATATAAAACATGGTAGTCATGTCGTTATTCAGAATGCGGACCGTGCAGTCGCAGATACTCAGCACAAACTGAATGCATGAGTTCTGCACCGCCCCAAGTTCTAACAAGTTGATATGGAGTCTGCACTCCTGCAGGGACCACCTGCCCAGAGGAAGGTGGTGTCAGAAGTGGGCACCCCATCCCAAAAGGGAGGCATCAGTTGTAATCTGGGCAAAAGGTTGCCTTTGATTAAAGGAGACCCCAGTGAGGTTACTGGGAATCATCCACCAGTGGAGAGAAGCAAGGATGTTGGGTGGGGGGGGGGGAACTAGCCTGTATACATAATTTTTGGCGAGGATGTAGACCATAGATAGCCAGTGTTAGAGACAACGGAAGTGCAGGCAATTCTGCTGGACCACGTACGTGGCTTGCACCATGTGCCCCATAAGCTGCAGACAGGTGAGCCCTGTCATGGTAGGACTTATCAACACTATGATGATAAGGGCCTGTATGGCCTGAAAACATTGATGTGGTAAGCAGGCCCAAGCTGCTAGCAAATCCACTGCTGTTTTGAATGCTGTGGGGAGCCCAGTGTGCCAGCTTTGAAATGTACAAGAATCCCCAGTGAGGGCTCGTGCGCATTTCAAAGCGGAAGCACCCACATGGAGCCCAGAGTCAGCGGGAATTCCCACTGGCCTTGGGCTTCACGCAGTGTTGCCACTTTGAACACCGCATGAAGCCTGACACCAGACTCCCTGGGGCCTTCCAAAGTGGCAGCGCCGCATGGAGCCCAGTTAGTGGGGGAGTCCCCAGCTGACCTCGTTCTCCACATGGCACTGTCACTTTGAAACGCTGTGGGGACTGCCCCGCTGGCCCCGTGCTCCCTGCAGCACTTTCGCCTTTGAAGTGTAGGGACAGCCTTATGGCTGTCGCTATACTTCAAAGGCGGATGCGCCCTACTGACTAATCAAAATAGTCAATGCAAATTGCATCGAGCATTCGATTAGTCAGTTACTCTAAATTTAGCAACCCTATTAAGAGTCCTAATGTCTTGAAAAGTTGTTTGGCGACGCACACCATGTTAACTGTCTCTGGGCGTGATGGACCCTTTATCAGACAGTCATCCAAAAATGGGAAAATAATAACTCCCTTATTTGCGGAGATAGGCTGTCACCACCATGAGGGTCTTAGAGAAAACCCTGGGGGAAGAGGATAGACCAAATGTCAGGACCTGTATTGGACATGGTCTAAACATATTGTAAATTGGAGAAATAGTCTATGAGAGGAATGAATGACGACATGAAAGTATGAGTCTTGAAGGCTGAGAGTTGTGAACCAGTCTTCTTCATCCAGTGCCGGGATAATCGAGGCAAGAGTGATCACTTTGAAATGTTGTTTGTGCAGGAATTTGTTTAACCTGTGGAGATCAAGGATAGGTCTCCAACCCCCTGTGGAGCTAAGAAAGTAGCTGGAAAGAATCCCCTGTCCCTGTATAGGTTGGAAACCCTCTCAACGACACCTATATGTAGCAGGCAGATCAACCTCTTATCATAGGAGTTGCTCATGAAAGGGGTCCCTGAAAAGGGAAGGGATAAATGGGAAGTAAGGGGAATAACATATCTCGATCAGATAATCTCCAGAACCCACTGATCTGTTGTAATGGAAGCCCAATGATGGTAAAACAGGAATAAACGGTGGGAGAAAAGGTTCATATTCTGTTGAGGCACTGGTACCAAGAAGAGGTCAGGCAGAGCCTCAACAAATCCTCAAAACTGCTGTTTAGAAGAATGTGGAGCTGATGAGCAGCTCTAGGGAGTGCGCTTTTTCTGCACTCTTGACCCAGAGTGACATGTTCAGATACCATATGCCGTGGTCAAGTGTAGGCGAGGTCTCTTTGCCGGTGGTATGGAGTATATCACCTACGGCAGTAAGGTGGAGTGTACATGCCAAGTTTGCATAGGACTGTGCAAGAATCTTTGCTAGTATGCACCACCTTGTCCATTTTAGCAGCAAAAAACTAGTCCTTATTGAAGGGTGGGTTTTCAACCTTGCCCTGAAGCTATCTTGGGAACCCAGAAGCTTAGAGCCAAAAAGCCCCACGCATTACTATGGAAGTTGTGGTAGCATGAACAGCGGTGTCAGTGGTACGGAAAGTGCTCCATTAATTCCACAAGCTTTGAGTACTTATCTAAGTTATGATTAGCCAACAAAGAGGAATAGTTGGCAATGCAGAGTTGAAGCATGGCTGAGGAGTATATCTTTCGGCCAAATAAATCCAGTTGTCTGTGGTGCTTTTCGTGGGTTGTGGCCTCCACCACAAAGGAGTTCGGCTGAGGATGAGAGAACTGAAAGTCCATACCCTTGGCTGGAAAGTACTTTCTGTCAGTCCTCTTGTTAGTGGAAGATGGGGGTGGAATCCAGTGTCTGCCAGATCTTATCAGAGGTCTCCATTATGGCCTCGTCGATGGGAAGCACAATTTTGGTATGCAGCATTGGCTGAAGTATCTTTAGGAAACAGTGTTCTTTCTCCTGCACTTCCTGAAGAGGTACCTTCTGGCTAGTAGCCACACACTCGAATAGCTCCTGGAACTGATTTAATTGTCAGCCAGAGATGCATCTGAGGAAATGACTGCCTCATCCGGCAAGGAGGAAGATTGATCCACTGGTGACGTGTCCAGACAATGAGGATCATCATCATCGATAATCTGACCCTCCTCTTCTTCTAGGTCCTCAGTAGCAGAAGGATTAGTCCTCATTAGCAGAAGGACAAGGAGCTCATGAGAATGGAGGAAGAGGTCTTTTCACTGGAGTGGAAGAGGCAATAGAATGGTGCAAGACGACATCTAGGGGTCCCATGGTGACAATTGCATAGGGTACTGTGGTGGAGGGTATGGCCAGTGTGCAAACTACAAAGGCTGTTGTGAATAACATGGTCTGTTTCTGTATGGAGCAGAATGAGAGTGAGTAGGAGAGGAGTATTGTGAGGAACATACACTCCTACAATCATCCTCAAATTCGCTGTGCACTGAGAACTCCAGGGATCTTGGTGAGCCAGGGGAAGCCCTTAAAGAAGGAGCTGATGGTGATGGTTCTCTAGACACAGTGCCACACGGATGAGGCAGCTCCACAGCAGCCAGCACCAAAGTGCCATGATTTGGCTCTCTCAGTGTGCAGCAGCTCCATGTTGCTGCTCAGTCAGTACCACTTAGTGTGGTGCTGGTGGAGGTCGCATGGGTGCCACAGGCAAAGAATAGTGATAGAAATGTAGCCGTGTTAGTCTGGGGTAGTTGAAGCAAAATGCAGGACAATGTAGCACTTTAAAGACTAACAAGATGGTTTATTAGATGATGAGCTTTCGTGGGCCAGACCCACTTCCTCAGATCAAATAGTGGAAGAAAGTAGTCACAACCATATATACCAAAGGATACAATTTAAAAAAATGAACAAATATGAAAAGGACAAATCACATTGCAGAACAGAAGGGGGATGCGGGGGGGTGGGAAGGGGGAGGAAGGAAGGTAAGTGTCTGTGAATTGCTGATATTAAAGGTAGGGAGAGTGGGATGTTTGTGAGTTAATGGTATTACAGGTGATAATTGGGGAAACTGTCTTGGTAATGGGTGAGAAAGTTCAAAGACTTGTTAAGTCCTTGTTGGTAAGTGTCGAATTTTAACATGAATGACAGTTCAGAGGATTCCCTTTCAAGTGCAGATGTAAAAGGTCTTTGTAGCAGAATGCAGGTGGCTAAGTCATTTAGAGAGTGTCCTTTCTGGTTAAAGTGGCAAGAAACTGTTTTCTCTTTGTGATCTTGTCTGATATCTGTTTTGTGGGCATTAATCCTTTGGCGAAGTGTCTGAGATGTTTGTCCAATGTACATAGCAGACGGACACTTTCGGCACATGATAGCGTAGATTATATTTCTGGATGCGCAGGAATATGTGTTCTTGATCTTATAACTCACTTGGTTAGGTCCAATAATGGTATCAGCAGAATGAATATGTGGACAAAGCTGGCAACGGGGTTTGTTGCAAGGGAAGGTACCAGGGTTGGTATTAGTGTGGTATGTCCTGTGGTGGTTGGTAAGAATCATCTTGAGGTTAGGTGGTTGTCTATAGGAGACTATGGGTCTGTCTCCCAGAGCCTCTTTGAGTATGGTATCCTGTTCCAATATAGGCTGTAGTTTATTGATAATGTGTTGGACAGGTTTAAGTTGGGGGTTGTAGGTGATGACAAGTGGTGTTCTATTGTTGGTTTTCTTGGGTCTGTCTTGAAGTAGATGGTTTCTAGGTATTCGTCTGGCTCTTTCAATTTGCTTTTTTGTTTCTCTGGGTGGGTAGTTGAGATTTATAAATGCTTGGTAGAGATCCTGAAGCTTCTGGTCTCTGTCAGTGGGGTTAGAGCAGATGCGGTTGTATCGAAGGCCTTGGTTATAGACGATGGATCGTGTGGTGTGTTCTGGATGGGAGCTGGATGCATGTAGGTAACTGTATGAGTCAGTGGGTTTTCTGTAGAGAGTGGTGTCTAATTTTCCATTGTTGATTTGTACTGTGGTGTCCAGGAAGTGGATCTCTCGTGTAGAATGGTCCAGGCTGAGGTTGATGGTGGGGTGTAGGTTGTTGAAATCTCTGTGGAATATCTCCAGTGTTTCTTGGCCATGTGTCCAGAAGGCAAAGAAGGCAGTTCTGGGCTTGGTGCCTTCTATACATCTTGGTTGGTGCAGAAGATTTTAATTGCACATAGGCCGGTGCTGTAGATTTGGCAGATTCTTGTGACGTGGTCAGTGCCGGCGCATTGTCCAGTTCCCTAGCAGATGTAGTGGCTGGAAGGGACTGAGCTAGAGAAACCTTCCATTTGGCCGCTGCCTTTGCCAGTGGGGAACCAGCTCACCTTTTCTGGGTCTTAGAGGACTCAGATTGGGCTGGGGAGTTGCAAGGCTCTGAAGGTTGGAACGCCTTATCGAAAAGCAGCATGCGAAGGCATAGCTCCCTGTCTCAATGCACTCTTCCAGTGAGGCTGCAGCAATGAGTGCACTTCTGAGGGATGTGCGAGTCCACCAGGCATCAAATGCATGATGAATGGCTGTCAGAGATATATGAATATTTTTTCTTAAGAGTTGCATTTCTTGAAACTGGGGGAGCCCAGCATGGCACCTCCACAGTCTTCTTATATTTTGTTTTCTTTTTTCTATTCCATCTTTTCTCTTTTTTTTTTTTTTAGGAGAAGTAACCGAGGAAGGGGAAAAAAAAGGGGAAAGCAGCCCAAAAGAAGGGGTTGTGGCCCCAACCCTGTCAATGATATTTCTCTCTCTCTCTCTTTTTTTTTTTTTTTTTTTTTTTTTGGTTGAGAAGGAGAAACAAGAACTAGTAATGAGAACAAGAAAAAACTAGAAAGTAGCTGTAACGATTTTTTTCTCATCTGACTAGATATGCTGAGGACAGAAGCTGAGCTCTGTCTGCGAGGGCAGTAGTAGCAAAGGAATTGAGAGTTGGGCCACGCGTATGAGGTACCTACTGTACATGCATGGCCCAACCAGATACAGCTATAAAAACTCCAATCAACAACCCGACAGCAAAAGCGGAGTACCCACGTGGACATCAGTCGAAGGACAACCTACTTGTTAATGCATTTTGTATCACCTTTCAAAGTAACACTCATTTGTTTAGTTCATCAGCACAGTGAATGTAAGCTAAAGATACACTGATTTAATACACAAAATTTCTAATCCTGATCCACAGCTATCATTAGGGCATCATCCCAGACTATCTTTGTATTTTCTTCTGAGCCTCTTCTCAGCTGCCACTATTATACCAGCACCAACATTTTAGACTGGGGATAAAGTAAGGGCAGGAGAATGGAGAAACAGGAAAAGATGAAGACCATTTCATTTCACAGAGGTGTATTTTGGAAAATGGTTAAAATATTACAAAATTGTTAGTCACCTCCAATATGGGCTGGTTTTAAAATTAGTCACATGATAGGTTTTGCATCCAATTAACTAATCCCCTCAGCTGTTATTGGTCTCTGGCTGCAATGGTTTATGTTTTAAACTTACTAAAAATTAAGTGTTTCATTTCTTTCAGGTTTTTTTGTAGGTTTCAAAATAGAATATTATTATGCATATTTTTTCTTAAGAGTTGCAGTACCTTACTTCTGAGTCTGTAAGTTATAAAGCTAATATATACCCCCCCCCCCACACACACACACACCCCTCTCAAATATTAACTTAGAAAATCAGCTAAGAAGTCTACCAACTTTTCTAAAGTGCAAAAGGCATAACTATAGAAGGTATAAAACCCTTTCAATCCATGGTAGGCTCCAGCGGTCTACCCTCTGTGGGCAGCAGAGGCTACTGCTGTATGCTCCTCATTTCATGAAGAAGAAAAGAGTGGCAGCATTGGCTGTGCTGTCTGCCAAAGGAGTTAATCGGTTACCCTAGAAACAGATGCATCTAGAAGCTGTAGTCCAGGGGAAAAACACAAAATCTGAAACATGAGCTGCAGCTTTCCCCTGCCACTGTCTGATTATTTATTTTTACTTCTGTTGTGTCCAGGGGCCCCAATTAGGATCAGGAACCCATTATGCTAGACACTGTAAAAACACAAGAAAGACTTTCAATCAACTGTAATTTGGGCTTCGGAATCCAGTAATCTCATATACCAAATTCTTAAAAGATCTTACTAAAGTTCCCCAGAAAAGAAGACGTGTAAATAGTATTGTCAATCTCGAGATAAAAAATCATGAGCCAACCTCAACAAAAAATTGTGAGAATTTTTTTTTAAAAAGACTAGTGGGGAGGCGATTGTCTTTTGATATTTGAACTCCTTCCACACAGCTCCTATGTGTGGTAGTTAGAGTTGTTCACCATTCCAAATTCATTAAGATGACTGTAGACCTTGTAAGTAATCTCTCCCACATCTTCCTGGCCACCTTCCTGCCTCCTAATACACTTTAAATGCAGAGCTGCAGTGAGGCTAGGTCCTGGTCCCAGCACAAGCAAGGAATGAGCCAGGCTGCTGGCCAGCTTGCTAAAAAATGTACTGGTAAGGGGAGAGGGAGAATGTGTGTAGTCTATAGCATTAACCTATAAGCTTTGGCTTATCAGTTAATTGGTTAATCAACTACACTATTACATCCCTAGTTCAGCTGCCCCAGCTTTATGTCTGCTCTTTCTAGGGTTTTTACTTTCTTCTCCCAGCCTGGGGGACTGTACTGGAGTCCCCTTCTCCATCTTCCAGGAGCAGGGAAGCAATGCCAGGTGGTGGAACTTCAATCCCCTCTGCCCATTCCCACATCAGGTGGTGCAGGAAGGGAGAAAAGAGAGGCAAGAAGCCGAGGAACCATCCTTCCCTGCTGCTTACAGAAGGAGATCTGAGATGCTCTGAGCTGCCCAGCTCCTTAGCTCCCTCCCATCCCCCTGTGAAAATGGATTCAGGTTGCCTTGGGGCGGGAAGGTTCACCTTGTCTAGGACTTTATGAATAACCAAGTCCCAACCCCTTCTTAAAGGGGCTCCACCTAAGACAGGGTTTGTGGATCCAAGTCCCCAGGCCCTCTGTTACAAAGTACTACCAACTCTTGCTATTTTTTCCACAATGACACAATTCTGGCTGAGGCTGGAGACCATACTTGCAGTGCAGTAAGGTCCAGCTACCCACTAAATTTGAGCCCTATGACAGGTTGCCTGTCTGCTTCCCTGGGCAGAATAACTAATAAAGAGGGGCCATAGACAGAACTTGCTCTCTCTCTCCCACTTAGGGTGACCTAAGGAAGAAAGTGTGAAACAATCAGGAGGGGATAGGCAATAAGTGACTCTCCAGCCAAATGCGTTTCACCGGGGTTAGCCCTGATTGGCGCTGGTGCTTTATTTATTTGTGTGTCTGCAGGAACAGCCGCTCACAGCTACTGTTGGCCGTGGATCATCAAACCTCAACAATGGAAGCTGTGGGAACTGTTGTCCCGCTCTGTGCCACTTCCCATGGGTCCCATTGGCTGGGAACAGCGATCTGTGGCCAACAGGAGTTGCAAGCAGCCATACCTGCAGATGCGCAGGTAAATTAAACATCAGCAGCCCACCAGGGGCTAACCCTGGTGAACCGCTTCTGGCTTATCGCCCATCCTTACCCTACTCCCACTCACAATAGGAATTCAAAGCCCCTGTCACAGGAAAGGAAGAAGGAGATAAACAGCCTAACAGTGGGTTATTTACATGTGAAATTAGAAGTCTACGATTGCTTCCAGCTATGGGGATGGATACATGTGCACAGATTAGATCAAATCATTCATAGTGCATAGACAATGGCATGGTGATTACAGTGTTATTTTTACTAATGTATTTCAAACATAGAACACTTGTTTGGAATCAATATTCATATTTGGAAAAGCTGTCACTAAAGCAAATTACTGTAAATCAGCAATACATACAGTGTCAATTGCAGAACAAACTCTGGTTTGACACAAGTGTATAGTGAAGATGGCATGTGAACGTGAGCTTTGAACATTCATCTGAGTACTGGCTGTGGTTCGAGATAATGCACCCAACTTCAAACACTGCATCATCTGTAAGACAAAACATCATATATTCCATTTTATATTTTTTAAAAGACCAAGTGCTTTAGTATTTTCTACCCACCTCCAGCACCTGCCTGCATCTATAGTCTGAAAATGGTTAAACGTGGACAACAATAAGAACTGGGAAGAAAAAAAGAGGGAGGATTGATAAATGAATCCAGGTTTAACAAGTTTGTCCCTCAAGTTGGAGATAAATCCAGGTTTTTATACTGGGGATACATGTGTTACATACAACTTATTTTCAGTTATCACCTCAGCTTCTCCATTCACAGTCCGTGTTGTAACTCCTACTGTATAAATTCCTCCAGTTGAATCTTCGTGTATTTTGATATTTGATTTTTTATTCTTTGCATCGATATCACGTGTTGTATCAAATAGATCAAGAACTTCTTCATTATAAAGCTATAAAAGAAAAAGGAATAAAATGTTACTTTTAACAATACATTCTTAAAAAAAAAAAATCTACATATTACTTTCACACACAGTTGTAAAATCTACTTATCACAGAAGGTTCATCGATAATTACCATAAGGGCCACAGTATAAAATCCAGCATTAGGAGAAAATAAGTGAACACAAAAAATAATTGGAGGATAATTATCTGTGCACTTTTACTATCTAATTTAAGAAATATATATAATGTCAACGGAAGCCAGGTGACCTGTGAGGGAAAGAAATTCTAGGGTGAAGCCAACCGTTAAGAGACACTAAAATCCAGGAGAGCAACTGCAGAAGCAGTCTCAGTGCCAGGCACCAATGACGTCAGACTGCTTTCCATAGTTTAACTTTGGACTTCTTTTCCCTTGCCTGGCTGTTTGTTTCAAAACCTCTTTTAGTCAGTCTTTCACCCCACTTGTCTGACATTCTTCTCTATCATTCCCTCCACCATCTAGCTCCCTCCCTCATGCTATTATGCAAGTTGAAATAGAGAAACTACAACTCTCAGAATAGAAAGCAAAGTCCAAATCAAGGATAAGGGGAAACAGTTATATCATTTGCACTACCCATTTTGCATTATTTTTCTAGCCAAACATTATCCAAAGAGTTTACAATTTGTGATTAAAATAAACAGAGGCAAAAGCAAGCAAATTCAACAACAAAGAAGGTTTGTTAAACTTCAGTCACGTGTTTTAAAGCTACTTAGGACATCTTAGGCAAACAAGCAGCTTTTATTAAGAAGCCATCATGATGAGTGTAGCTTAAAAGACTGTTCGATTCCAGCAACAAAATACTGAATTAAACAATATACAGATGCCTACAATTTACAAAAGACCCTTCTCAGCATGAACTACTGACAGAAAGAACTACTATGCACTACCAGGGAAGAAAAACATGAATATACCATAGAAAATATTTAAAACTATATTAACTGCAGAGCCACTGAAGACTCACAAGATTTGCAGACTAGTGAGTGTTGGGAGTGTAGCAATGGGAGAAGGAGCACAAATTACATTGGTCTGAAGTGCTCTAGCCCAGTGTTACTGAGCGAGAGAGGGGACAAGTGGCATTGCCCCATGTTGTAACCATATTAGACTCCCTCCCTCTTACACAGGAGTCTTAGAGTAGACCCCAGACAAACTAATACTAATGAAATTCAACTGGGGGAAAACTTTTCTGGGGGAAAAGTTGCTTAAACATATTTTCTTTCATAATTTAAATGAGCTAAAACTGAAAGTGTTGTTTAGCAAGCTGAGTTTTGAACTTTAAGCTAAGTAAAAACAAAAAAGAAAATGGCTATCATTTGTAACTTTAAAAATAGAAGTATAGGAGAGGTACTCCATATGGGATATGCTAGGGATGTTAAATATCAGTTAACTGAATTGTCAAGTAATCTCATGAATTTTTAGTGGTTGGTCAACCATCGCCGGGGGCAGGGCTGGCAGCCAGAGCTCTCCAGCCTCACTCCTGAGGACCTCCCTGCCACTCCACGCTGTTGCCTCTCTATCGGCTCAGCTCTCCCTAGACAGGGGCTGCTACTGCCACCTCACACTGCTGCCTGTGTGTCAAAAATATATCTATGTTTTTGAAAATTTTCTTAAGCCGAGGACGTAAGGCGGGGGTTTTCGGCCCCTTCTGCACTTACAAAAATGGTTGTAAGTGGGGGATGGGGGGGGGGTCACAACTCGGGCAGTCGCATCTCAGGGGTTTCCTGTAACATTGATACAAAAGACTACACACTTGAGGAGCAAAACATATTTCAAGCCACAAAGTATGCAGCCTGGCAGAGTACCCCCTCTGATCTGATTCTACTGAACTTAGAGCCAACTAATCTACTAATATTCCAGATGCAATGTGAATACCATCTTTCCTGCTAATAACACAAGGCACAGCAGAACTAAAATTCAATAAAGATGTCATAGCAAAATGGTTTAACAGACACATAAACAATTGTCAGTGACCTTTGAAAACATAAGCAGCAGATAAGCTATTTTCCTCAAACATCAACTTGAAAATCCAAAATCTGTCTGGACAAGCTTTAATGAAAATCACAGAAACAATAACTCTATTCACTACATATAGCTACATGCCTATAGTCAGCCTCCAGCTCATGAAGTTTATACACTGAATTCTGTTGTGAAAAGACTTGCATAAGTCACATCTATCTTCAACAGAAATATGTAGTCTTGACTGTTCATCCATCACTCTTGCCTGCTCTGATGAAGCTAAGATGACTGTACCAGAATGTAAAGATAGCCTGATTACACACATACAAGGCCTACACATATGAATGAGCTTCCTAATAGTGCTGAGGTAGTATACAAAGGATTCTGAATGGTCAAGTGGGTAGACTGCAAATAGAATGTTATGTAGACAAACAATTAGACATGGCCAGTAAAATATACCATTTTACAGGTAATGTGGCATCTGATATTACCACAACTTCTGAGCACTCCATAAGAACATGACAAGAAAGTCAAAGAAAAGCTCCTGGACTTTTCAAAATCTGATGCTACAGAAGATTACTAAAATCTAGTGTCTATTCCAGGGATGGCCAACCTGTGGCTCCAGAGCCACATGCGGCTCTTCATAGGTACCAAATCCAGGGCTGGAGCTACAGATGCCAACTTTCTACTGGGCCAGAGGGTGCTCACTGTTCAACCCCCAGCTCTGATCTAGGCCCTTTCCCCCTAGGATCCTGCCACTTTCTACTCTCTCCACTGAGTCTGTCACACCCATGCTTCTTCCCCTCTCCAGTGTGTCCCACTGAGAAAGAGCTGATCCCAGTGGGCAGGAGGAAAAGGAGAAGGAGGCACACACCAGTGGGGCTGCCAGTGGGCAAGATGTGCTAAGAGTGGTGGTGGGGAGATGATCAGGCCTGGTGACACAGAACTATTGCTCTTTGGCAATGTGCATTGGTAAACTCTGGGGCTGTGTCTAGACTGGCAAGTTTTTCCACAAAAGTACCTGCTTTTGTGGAAAAACTTGCCAACTGTTCACACTGGCCACTTGAATTTCCGCAAGAACACTGACTTCCTACTGTCTGAAATCAGTGCTTCTTGCGGAAATACTATGCTGCTCCTATTCGGGTAAAAGTCCTTTTGCACAAAGCTTTTGCGCAAAAGGGCCAGTGTAGACAGCTCAGATTTGTTTTGCGCAAAAAAGCCCTGATCACGAAAATGGCGATCGGGGCTTTTTTGCGGAAAAGCATCCGTGCCAATCTAGATGCTCTTTTCCGCAAATACTTTTAACGGAAAACTATTCCGTTAAAAACATTTGTGGAAAATCATGCCAGTCTAGACATAGTTTGGCTCCTTCTCAGATTTAGGTTGGCCACCCGGTCTATTCTGTCAAAAGCAAGTTTATGTGACCAGCTAGCATCATTTGTGCAGACACACACAGACATCCACCAATAACAACTGTTAATACTTCTGGCAATACATGTATACGGTGGATATCCTCTGACTCCTCATCTGATCTCAGTGGAACAGAATTTAGAAGTTTCATCTGTATGCTTTCAAAACAATGCTTACATTCTTTCACGATATAACTACCCAAATTATGCTTGATGAGCATCTGTGTAGTAAGCAGAACTGAACCATCTCCCTCCGGAGGTACTTGAAGAGTTCCACTGAGGCAACTGGGTTGTGAAACTTTCAAATTACCGATTCAATCAGGTAGATCAGGACCACTACCAAGAAAGGCTCAATGCCACTAGTAAAAGAGGAGGGTGGATTATAGGTAGCACAAGAAGAGATTTAGCACTCAACAATGGGCTCTCTCTAATATGGTACATGACCAAATTTCAGCCCAAACCAGAAAATTGTGCTGTCTTAGACATGATACCAAATGGCTTGCAATTAATCCACAAGAGCAAAAAAACTGCATTATCATGTTGAAGAGAATAAAGTGTTAAAAACATTTCAAATATTCAAATTATTCACTATAGGTTGGACCACAGTGGTCCAGCACACTCAAGACCGGAGCGGTCCCAGATGAGGGAATTTGTCAGATCAGGGAAGCTCCCCTGCCTCTGGCCCTCTCAGTCTGCCTCCCCTCTCCACCATCAGCTCCTTTGGCCCTGCTGCTGGTCGGATGACATGACTGCCTCAGCCCTGCTGCCATAGCTGATGCTCCAGCCCCGCTGCCGGCCAGCATGTGGCCCCAATCAGGTTGCCGACGTGCCATGGCCCCAGACGGGCTTCCACTGCCGGGCTGCCGCGGCCCAGTCTTATTGTCAGCCAGGCTGACACTACCCTGTCCCTACTGCCAGACCAGCATGCAGCTCCACTTGTGCTGCCGCAGCACAACCCTACTGTCAGGCCGGCACACACAGGCTGCCCCTGCCCTGCTACCACGGCACCGCTCCCACCGCCAGTCTGCTAAGTGCCTGGCTCTGTTACCACCAACCTTGCCTTTCACAGGGCTCTCAGATGCTGGCCATTCTGCCCTGGAGCTCTCTTGTTCAGTAGCATTCGCAATCCTGCCGGACCACAGATGCTGCCGGATGAGAGAGTCCCAGTTTATGGAGTGCAACCTGTAGTTAACTAGCCTCCAACACACTGTAAGACACTGTGAAAACCTGCTGAGTGCTGAAATATTTGGCCAGGAGCAACTGAATACTTTCATTGAGGAATGGCCATGTGAAAGTCATGTCATTTGTGAAAGAACAGGTAAGGAAAACACTTAGTTTATTTTATAAACTAAACTTTAATAATTTATACATTTTAATTTAAAAAGAAACATCCACCATAAAATAAAATTGAAAAATGATTTAACATCTAATTAGCATATATAAGGGTTTTTTCATTAGCAAATGTGAGGCTATGTCTACACTTGAACCCTAGTTTGAACTAGGGATGCAAATGCAGGCATTCGAAATAGTCAATGAAGCGAGAATTTAAATATCCCGCACTTTATTAGCATGATCTCGCCGGCGCGTTACTCCAAATGCCAGCTGTTTTGAAAGTGAAATTGCACGCCGGGACACGTTAGTTTGAACCAAACCCCTTGATTCAAACTAACGTTACTCCTCATTGAAATTTGGTCATTTTTTGAGGAGTAACATTAGTTCGAACGAAGGGGTTTGGTTCGAACTAACATGTCCCAGCGCGCACTTTCACTTTCGGAACAGCTGGCATTCGGAGTAACGCGCCGGCGAGATCATGCTAATAAAGTGCGGGATATTTAAATTCTCGCTTCATTGACTATTTCGAATGCCTGCATTTTCATCCCTAGTTCAAACTTTCGAAATAGTCAATGAAGCGAGGATTCATTGCGTATCTTATTTCGATTTTAGGATGCTGTGTAGACGCACCGCATGAGAGAAATGCATGTAGATTAGATTGTTTCTCTAATGCTTTGCTCTTGCTGTTAAATAAACAATACTTTGGCTTTAAGAAAAGTGTTGTGTCACTGTACACTGCTGATCACAGACTCCTGAAGGGAAGAACCATGAGCGCTAGAAGTTATTTGGACCTCCATAAGAGAACATGTGATATACAGATTACTGTAGCCCAGGGCCCAGAGTAAGAGAAAAAATTGTCAAATTCATCTTCAACTAGGGAAAAGCACATAGCACATAGGGGAGGAAGGTGCACTCAGAAGGTACGGCTACACCAGTGTTTTACGGAACCCTAGGGTTCCACAGACCATCGTCAGGGTTTCCGCGAGAAATCATGGAATAAATAAATAACAATTTTGAAATACCGCAAACAATTCCAAATATCCCTCGAAATATTGTGGGAATTTTTGTCCAGCAATTGGCAATACTGGAGTAATCTTCGTACGCTAACAACTGCCTCTTTGTTTTGTTTTAGTCAGTTCGTATCTAAGGTTAGATTTAGTTGTATTGTGCCTGCCCTTTTGCTTCCCAGAATTCTCCACGTTTCTAGTCTTGTCTAGTGCACATTACGGTCGTTCGCTATTTTGTAGATTTGTAGTCTTTGCGCAGTTTTGTAATTAACGTTTTTACCAAAACTGTAGTTGTTTTTGTGTATCTAAAAATCTCACCTATGTAACAGTATTTTCATATGGCCATCAAAAATAAAAAAAATGTGGAAGTATATGAAAAGAAGGCATGTCAGTGAAGGAGAGGACAGTGAAAATGAATCAAAATTATCAGAGCTAAGTACGAGTGAAACAGGAAGAGAAGTGACTGATATTAAAAAAATTTGCCTTTACAATGACAGTTACTTGGCCATGGGTTTTAAACACTTAATCACGTTGAACACCACAATGCAGGACCCAAAAGAAAACATTCTAACTTCCACAGACAAACTTCTTGCATTCAAGAATAAACTCAAGGTTTGGAAAAGACATCTTCCAAGTGGAAATATTGAAATGTTTCCGCTCCTACTTCAGTTTCAGAGTGAGACAGATTATAAAGAAGTCATCCCATTAATTACCAGTCATTTGGAATCACTGACAGAAAAACTTGACCAATACTTTCCTTCTTTGACATCAGAAATGTATGACTGGGTTAGGAACCCTTTTGTTGAGTTCTCACAAAATTTACTCAGTCTTCAAGAAGAACAACAACTGACTGAACTACATTGTGATCAAACTTTGAAGATAAAATTAAATGAAGTGCTACTTGATGTGTTTCGGATTTCAATAAGAAGAGAGTATACTATGATCTCAGCAAAAGTAGTGAACATCTTACTCCAGTTTTCAACTTCTTACCTCTGTGAACAAGCTCTCATGTCTTACAAACATTAAAAACAAAGAAAGAAATCGTCTGCTGTCTGTCGAGGAAGAACTGCAAGTGTGTTTGTCAAAAATTCGGCCAAGAATTCAACATTTGTACAAAAAGAAACAAGCCCAAGTGTCACATTGAAAGTAAACTTTATATTGACTTTGGATGTGAACTTTATTTTGATGTTTAAGTAAACTTTATTTTGATTTGATATTTTAATATTTAAATAAAAAGATTAGATAATACAAAAAAAGACAGGAATAATGCTCCAATTTTTTTTCTTACAATGTAAGCTGACACACACACACACACACACACACACACACACACACACACACACACACTTACTTTAAAACAGCTCTTTACAAATAAATTTCCTTAACAATAATTTAGCAATAACTGAATTGCGCTCCCCAAGCAAACGTTTTCATAGGTAGGGGTTCCTCGGGACATGAAAAATTATTTTAGGGGTTCCTCCATGGGAAAAAGGTTGGGAATCACTGAGCTACACTGTTTGGTGTTTTCAAAGAAGGTATGCAAATTGCACTCGCATTTGCATATCTTCTTCCATTTTTTTTTTTCCAGAAGAGGATTTTCCGATATTTGGCCCGTCTACACAGGGCCAAATGTCAGGAAAAAACCCTCTTTCGGAAGCGTAAAGCGAGGCGTACAGGGGGCTTCCAAAAGAGGATTTTCCTCCAATATTTGGCCCCGTGTAAACAGGCCAAATATTGGAAAATCCTCTTTCAGAAAGAAAAAAAAATGGAAGACAACATGCAAGTGAGCGCAACTGGCATACCTTCTTCAGGAAAAAAACAAACAAACAGCCGTACCCAGAGAGACAGCAGAGGGAACACTGGTCACTAAGATTCAGGGAATATCTTGAGGACGCAAACCTTGGTGGGTTAAAAAGTAAAGGAGCTGCCAGAGGACCTTAGAGTTGCAGTGGAAGAGCCTTCAAAATTCATTATTGCCTGGGACTAGGAAAAAAACATTTTCTGAAGTCAGTCAGTCAGCTTTTGAATGGTGGCTGTAACAAGTCTACTAATAGCACTGGAATTTTTGAGGTATTCATGGCAGTTAGATGAATGGGCAGAAGCACAAAGTAAACACAATTTATTCCACAGCTTGCAGTTTATCCCACAGCTTTAAAAAGAAAAAGAAAAAGAAGAAGAAAAAAGAAAAATAAATTAGATGATTGTTCCAAGATCACACATACAGTATAGAAAAAGATACCACTACTATAAATATGTATGTATAAACAAAATCTTTATTTCAAAATTCACTGTAAATGGACCTGCTAAACATTTACTGGAAATAATGGATTAGATTATAAAGTATCTTTTTATAAATTCAAGAACCAAAGCAAATGCTATATATTTCCTCATGAAATCCTAAAGGAAAACAACTGACTAATAAATATAAAGTTTCTTACAAGCAAGAGTGACAGTAACTGAACTTTCTTACAAGTACTGTTGTATTGCAACCTTGAAGCAGTGGGTTGGGGGGGTTGCAATATAACAGTACAGGAAACCCCCGCGTTACAATGGCCCGACTTGCGACCTCCCGCACTTATGACCATTGTTGTAAGTGCGGACGAGGCCGAAAACCCCCAACTTACATCCTCAGCCCATATTTATAATGGTGCCCGGCACCTATCGTCAATGAGGGTTTGAGTTATGACACCCCCGACTTGTGACGCTTCCCCAGGAACTGATCGCGTCGCAAGTTGGGGGCCTCCTGTACCTATAAGAAATTTAAGTGTGGGATGGAGTGCGGGGAGCTTAGGGCAAGGGATTGAGAAGGGCTCAGGATAGGGGGTGGGGAGTATGTGTGGCAGGGGTGCAGGAATCAGAGAAAGAGTTGGGATAATGGGGGAGGCCTCAGGACAGGGTGTTGGGATGGGGGAAGGCCATGTCTAGGGTTTGATTGGGTTTGAGGGGAGCTCAGGGCTCAGCATGCAGCCACCATGCTGCTCAGCTACCAGAACCCCCTGAGCTGATGCAGCCACTGGATCCCTGGGGCTGGCCAGGAGGATACAACAATGCTGCCCAGCCGCCAGATCCCTTGGGACTCACAGGGGTGGTGACAGAGGTCCAATAGGGTGGGGGTGATACGGCCTCCAATGGAGGAGGAGGAGGATAGAAAAGGAGGGAGTGGGACATAAGGAAAGAGGTGGAATTGAATATCCATGCCAGAACCAATATGGGAACCTTACCAGTGTATGGTGGCCGGAAGCATCCAGAGTCCTGCTCCTAGCCGGCCACTCTCTTTCGCCTTTGCTTATGAGAGAAGAACTAATGAATAAGTAGATATTGGGATACATAAATAAGTCACTGACTTTCAAAAGAGATGGTTTTATAAACAAAATTACCTCTAAGAATTGGGCATTCACTTTGAACTCTGGAGATGGAAGGTCTTGTTTAATAGCAGCTTGCTTTTTTTCTTCAATACATTTAAAAAGGTGTTTAACAGCACGAGATATAATGCCTTGTTCTTCTTCTGTTATGTTGACATCAAAGCCTGTTCCCATGGTGTATGTTTTGCCAGCCCCTGTCTAAATTTAAGAAGAAAAGAAATTACAAGTAACTTTAAAGCAGAGGTTCTCAAACTGTGGGTCAAGACCCCAAAGTGGGTCACAAGTCAGTTTTAATTGGATCACCAGGGCTGGTGTTACACATGCTGGGATCCAGGGTCAAATCAAAGCCCAGGCCCCAGCCTCTGGGGGTCAAAGCTGAAGCTGAGGGTGTTACCTTTGGGCAGCAGGGGCTCAACTACAGTTTCCCCTTCTTGAGGATGAAACTTTTGGTCTTCAGCCCCAAATCTCACAAGGGTGCTAGGGCTTGAACTTTGCCGCCCCCTGCTTGCCCAGACTTGGGGTGTGTGTGTCAGGTTTCAATTCCCCTCCTGGGATATAATTTTTGTTGTCAGAAGGGGGTCACAGTGAATAAAGTTTCAGAACTACTGCATTAAAGGCACAAAATCACACACAATCTTGGATCATGGCAAGAGGCACAATAAATTTGCTTCTGAATACTATCATTCTATGATACGTAGGCATTTCTGTTAAGTCACAGCTCTTACTAATTGCTTTACAAAGTACCTCACACAGAGTAAGATAACAGAAGTGTTTTTAAAAATAGAGATAAACTAGATGCTTAATAAATAGTGACGGTACACTACTTTAATGTCTTTAAAAGTTTTTCTTATGAATGAATGAATGAATGAATGAATGAATGAATGCATGCTTGTGAAAAGTGCTTGATTGACAATGTTGGAAATCAAAATCCTCTGCTTATCCATACAGTAGACACAGCACTGGCAGTGGAAGTTCAAACTTCTCCTATGCAAATAAAACACTTCAGCCCTCATCTCCAAGACAGAATAGATAGTACTTATTTGCATGTCTACACTCAGTCCTTTCAACTGAGAGTGCCAACTAATGTGTCATTCAAGCTAATTGTGCTATCACTATTTTCAATTATCTATCTAAGTTTTTATATAGTTCTCATTGTGTTATTTCAGTCTCTCACATTCATTACTGTATTTATTATTTTAAGGTAGGAAATTATTTTTATCTCCATTTTGCTGAGGAATTGAAACAAAGTGGCACTCCCGTGCACTAGGGATGTAAGCGACTAGTCAACTACCCTATAAGCAAATGCTTATCAGGCAGTCAAGTAGGAACTCAACTAGTCACTTCCCCCTGCCCCTTGCTGCCTCTATCAGAGAGAGAAAGCAAGTGGGGGAGCACAGGCCAGTGCTGGAGTGTCATGACCATGAGAGATGGGCAGCAGCCTGAGGACTAAGGGGTTAACTGTACCTAGCCAGGTATCTGCTCAGCCAATAGAAATACAGCTAGGAATTTCAAACTGGGACAAAGTAATTTTTGGTTTTTCCCTCCTTTGTCCCTACAGCAGTTTCTCTCCAGATACTGAGGGAGGGAGACATGTCTCTTTCTTCAAGAAAAAACTCTTCACTATCTGTAAGTAGGGTAAAGTTTAGATAAATCCGTTAGGTTTTATTGTTTTATGGTTTGGGAATGGGAATCTGATGTCTGTGCATTTACAAATGGTTTTTTTTCTCTCCTTTGTAACTAAGCTTTTGGCCCATGGGGGTCCCCTGTGAGTATATGAATTAGTGACTTTTCCATCTAGTCATTATGCTTGTAACAGGAGTATTATGGTGATAATAAAATTTCGGGTTTTTTTTCCTCGAGTGATCTCTTCCCTGGTTTTCTTACCATTACTTGGGTGATGGCAGTGGATTTTTATCCCCAAAATCTAGGTTTTTAAGTTTTTTGGGGGAAGCTTTATACCAAAGCCTGGAAGGATAAGGTTTTGGGGTACTTTTGCAGGCCCCCACTTCTGCATTCATCATGCCAGAGTGGGAATTTAGTCTTGACATGGAGGAAGCCGACTTAAAAGTCGGTTCCCCCTGCCAGCACCATCTCCAAGGGGGGCAGGAGGCAGCGGGGAAATGGTGTGAGTGGATATTGAAACAGTTCCACTCACACTGGTCCCACTGCTGCTCCTTTCCCTTTGGAACGTACAAGAGAGGCCTGCGGCTCTTGTACATTTCAAAGGAAGAGGCACAGAAGGAAACCCACGCCAGCAGGCACTGCTTAGCTCCCCACTAGCATGGGTCCCCGCTGTCTCTCTCCCTTTGAAATGAATAGGAGCTGCCACAGATCTTGTACATTTCAAAGGGAGAGGCACAGTCAGATAACATGCACCCCCCCCTTATCAACTAATTGACTAGTTAATGGAAATTTCATCGACTACTCGATTATCTAATTAATCGAAATTTAACACCCTTACCGTGCACCCCCTTTAATCAGTTAAGCATAATGTTAAACACTACATTTATCTGGTTAACCAATTTACCAGGATTTTACATCCCTATCTCTGACCAAGCTAACATGTTAAAAAAATAGCACAGACACAGAGGTGCAAGGAGCTAGCGGTTTGTCACAGAACATAGGTTGCAGAACAGAAAGGAAAGGTTGCAGTACAGCACAAGGAGGAAAAGGGAAAGGTACTGGTTTACCAGTGATGCATTATATTAAATCACTAATTTAATTTAACTATATTAAACTCCTGCATTCAGGATACATTTTTAAGTTATATTATGGGCACCTTAAGCCCTTTTAAGCATAAGAATGACCATACTGGTTCAGACTAAAGGTCCATCTAGCCCAGTATCCTGTCTGCCAACAGTGGCCAATGCCAGATGCCCAACAGGGAGTGAACACAAGCACTTCTATACATATAAATACATATATCATCTACACTGCATTTGAACTGGCATCATTAAGGCAAAATGATTTATATAAAACTACTTAGTATTCTTTACAAAATTATTTTTAAAACAAACAGGTTCACACATTTTATAACTTTATTAAAAGTTTAGTTATTGAAAATTCCTTGCATTAGGTCATAAACAAATATTTAAAATTAAATTGTAAGACTTACTTGGCCATAAGCAAAAACAGTTGCATTATATCCTTCAAAGCATCCTTCGATCAGTTTTTCTACGCAATGAACATAGATCTCCTCTTGCCGTGAGTCAATGTTGAACACATAATCAAAAGTGAAGGCCTTATCTTTGCCGAGGAACACCTGAGGTTCACCTGGTGTGACAGATGTGCAAATATGGCATCCTTCAATCTTCTCTTTGGCTAGCTGTGGTCTGATTCTATTAAAAAACACACACACAATATACATAAACCAAAGATTAGAACTCTCCTTTGTTAGAAACAGATCAAAGGAGCAATGCAAGTAAGAAATCATTAAGATTGTTTTTTCACATTTTTGAAAATTACCACATAAGGAGAATTCTCATTTTTCATCAATCTAAGAATACATCTACATTGCAGTAACTGAGATGATTACTGTTCAAGCCAACATACCCTTAATCTAGCTATCTTGGGTTCCTAGAGCAGTGAAGCCACAGCAGAAGTTTCAGCACCAACTGTACATGTCTGCCTGAAAACCTGGGCAGTTACTTGTGGGACTAGCCCACCCTGAAGCTCGCATTGTTACAGGCCCCAAACTAGCTATATTAAAGTTAACTCAAGTAGGTCAATTCCAGCTGAAATTACACCTAGAAATTAATAGATAGCAAGGTTAAAAGAAAAATCAACAAATGGAAGTACTTCTTCACACGATGCACAGTCAACCTATGGAACTCCTTGACAGAGGACGTTGTGGAAACCAAGACTACAGGCAGTCCCCGACTTACGCGGATCCGACTTATGTCGGATCCGCAGTTACGAACGGGGCTTTTCTCGCCCCGGAGGACACGGACTGCGGGACCTCGCGGTCCCGCCGCGCGTGTACTCCGGGGCGAGAAAAGCTGCTCCACGTCTTCGTGGTCTGCAGACCAGGAAGATGCGGAGCAAAGCCGCGGAGGGGCTGGGGCTGCTGGGCAGCCCAGGCGCGCCTGGGCTGCCCGGCTGCCCGAGCCCCTCCGCGGCTTTGCTCTGCGTCTTCCTGGTCTGCAGACCAGGGAGACGCGGGGCAGCCTTTTT